CAGAAAGACAGAGGATTTTCTTCAAAACCCAAAGGACTGCAGGTTTTGTTCTCCCTGTCTGCCCCATCCTCCATGCACTGCATCACCTCTTGCCTGCTGTGTGTCAGTAACTTTTCCTGCTGGTGAGCTGCAGCTGAAATATCCCTTTATCCTGCTGGGTCCTGACCACTCCATTGTCCTGGGTTAACCTACAGTCCAGTTTCAAATGCCCCAAAGGCCACTGGGTGCAACTGGGACACAAGAGAGTCTGCAGCTCCTGGGCTGCAGCTTCCCAAGACAGACAGGGATGAGGAAGCAGAACCCTTGCATGGCCTTTCCCAGCACCATCTCTCCAAGCTCCAGAACTGTGGAGCAGCAGACATTCCCTTGCTGCCTGCAGAGCACCCTCACATCACACCCAACACTGCTTGTGCACTGCATCCCTCGCTGCACTCTCTGCTGCCAGCCTCTCATCCCTCCCACCATGTCCCGTCCCAGAAAACAAGGTGCCCAGGCACACTCTGGGTTTTACAAGCAGGTCCCTGCCACCCTACCGTGCCCACAGCCCCACTCCATCCCTTGTGGGATTTGGGTCTCCCTCTGTGGCGGCTGGGGACACCTCCATCATCCACCACTGCCAGCTGCATGCAGTGGTGAGGATGCTGTTTGCATTGGCTCGGGACTTTGGCTCAGTTTATGTGTATATAAGGCAGAACTGGTTTTCCTTTTTATATTTTAGGCAACAATATTGGTGACAATAAACGAGCAGGAATTCTGTGGGTTCGTTGCTGTCTCCTCCCAGCCTATGGTGCTGTGGCACAGGGAGGATGCCAGCCCCAGGGTTGCACCAGCACTGATGCTGCTGAGCCCAGACCCACTGAAATGGGATGGATGGATGGATGGATGGATGGATGGATGGATGGATGGATGGATGGGGGATGTCTTGGCACAGCAGCCTTGGCCCTGTATCATGCAGTGCGCTCATCCCATAGTGATATTGCTGGCAGTGGTATGGCCCATACCATTGCATGGCACAGCCACATCCCATTGTCACCAAGGGAGGTGGCTGTGCTGGGCAACCCATCACCTCCAAACTCACAGCCCTGGGGGCAGCCAGGGAAAGGGTGCGGCCAGTCTTGGGTTGGTGGAGGCCAAAGAACAAGGCCAGCTGCCCACAAACGTAGCCGCCTCCCATTGGTGCTTCCTGGCCTCTAATCTTGTTTTATGGCTGTTGATGGGCTGAATATCCTCCTTGTCCAAGAAGAGCAAACAGAGAATGAGGATGTGAGATAGTGCCTGGGACAGCTGGCATCGGTGCCTGACACTGTCCTCTCCTGCATCCCAGTCATGTCCTCCTGCTCCTGTTGGGCACTGAGCACAGGGCTGTCCTCAAACCCCTGCCCAAAATGGCTCCTCCACCTCCAAAATGTGCCAAGTGTTGCCTGGGAAGAGGTGTGGGGAGGTTGTGTCCAGGTGCCTGGGCAGGAGAGGCTGTGGAGGGACACCTGATGCAGGATAAAGTCCTGTGGGTGGAGGAGATGGAGGAGCAGAGGCAGGATGAGGTGGCGTTGCAGAGATGGGCAAAGAGATTCTTCCTGACCTTGTGAGTGCAGCTGCACCTCCCACCGCACCCTGGTGACTCCATGCTCACCGGCATGGCACCTGGGCTGCCCGTGGCATGGGACCACCACCTCCCTGCATCCCTGCAGGGGGATGTGAGGCGTCAGGAGCTAAAACAGGCTGGGGAGGCAAAGACAATGGAGCTGGTGCTGGGTGGGAGAAGGGATGAGAGTGGATGGGCCACCTGCACAAAGAACTGGGCTGGACTGCGGAGACTGGAGTCACTTCTGCATGGAGACTTCAGCATGGTCCCCACGCCAAGGGCTGGATCATCCACATGCATCCTCCTCCCGCACCCAGCTTTGCCTGCCTTTGACATCCAATTTGTCATTGCCACATGCAGACTGGCCAATGGGATCCAGCCATGGCAGGGGATGAGATGGTGGCAGCCCCAGGCATCCCCATCACCTGCAAGGGGGAAGCTTGAAGGGAAACAGAATCCTTGGGGAGGATGTAATGTGCATGTCCCCCATTCACTGCTGTGCTGGGTGCCTATGAATGGGCAAGGGGCTGGGCTGGAGGGAAGATGCTCCACCGCCCTCCCAGCGAGCCTGCGTGTGCCGTTGACAGGATGAAATTCCAACTGATACCCTAATCTGGCGCCTGCCTGTTTGCACAGCAGGGTAAAAGTCCAGCGAGCCGTGGGGCTGTGCCCTTGCGTCCTGTGTGTGCACAGGGAGCCAGCGCTAGCGGGAAGAGGCAATAAATGCACCCACACGCCCAGGCACCCCTTCCCCCAACACACACACACACCCCTTGGATGGGTGATGAAATGCATCTGCTGCGTCCCAGTGCCTCCTCCCTCCACCATCCTTTGGGTAGGGATAGGTGAGTCCCGCAGGGCCCCCTCCATGCCAGGTGAGGGGCTGTGGACCCCATGTCCCCACCAGCTTTAGGACCTTTGGTCCAAAACCCCCCACACGTGTCACCTTGTCGGTTGCACCCCAGGCAGGTGACAGGCACCTGGTTTACCACCTGCAGCAGCTGCCTCCCGAGTGGCACAGCCCCACATGGGCATCCTACGGGGAAAGCCTGGGTGCAAGAGCAGGGAACCCTGGGGACTGTCCCCAGAAAGCCCCTGCAGCTTCTTCCTGCTCCATCCTCCACGCTTCCCACCGGCTCCCGCTGCCCCTCCTCGAAGGAATCATCATCAAAATAAGGCCACGCACACCATGTGCCGAAGACGCCGGCAGCCTCCGGCATGGCACGCTTCCCGGCGGTGACTAACCGGAGCCGCTGCTGCCTTCCTTGTGTCTCGTGGAGCGGATCTGGGCACGGACCCATCTTGCTGCCAGCCGCCACCTTCTCGCCTCTTCCCGGGTGGCTGCCACTGGGATGCGGGTGTTTTCCCCCTGATGGCAGCACGCACAGGGCCAGTGCCTGTCGGGCACTGCATCGGGATGGGGAGATGTGTGTGTCCTTCCCTATGCTTCAGCCCAAGGGAACGGAAAGGGCTACTTGATGTCCCAGGGGTGGCTCAGGTGTGGGAGAAGGCAAAGCTTGATAGAAATGCTTGCAAGCCCCATATGTGCTCTCTAGTGTTGGGCACTCGGTGATCGGAGCATGGGGACCCTAACCCTAATCCTGTCCCCTGCCCAAGGAGGGTTTTGGGGTACCTGTACTGCATTGCTTCTCATGGGAAGACTCCTCTGGCTCCTACTGCCTCTGGCAGGTGCTATTCCATGAAGTGGATCTCTTGCCAGATCCAGGGTGATGCAAGACTCGCACCAGCTCTGCAATGAGATGCTGGAGCACCCCAGATGCCCTGGGTGGGATGTCTACACCCTGGTGGTCCAAGGTGATGGAGAGATGATGTTGCTACCAAAACAGCACCAGCTTAACCAGAGAAGGGAGCTCCAGGTACAGAGCATCCCACCAGCAGTGGTATCAACACAGATAACTCAGGGTAGTGTCAGCCCTTGATATCCCTACTGGTAAATACTGCCCTGCAGGCAAGACAAGGGCTTGAAGTGCACCCAGGGAAGGCTGAGTGGTTTGTGCAGGGCTCAGTCCATGTGACGTGGGACTGGGACAGCTGTAACAAGGTGCCACCAGTCTCTTCCCTCCCATCCTGCAGAGGTGGCCGTGGGACACTTCTCATCAGTTGTATCCCAAGGGAAAAAGCTGAAAGGCTGATTCAGATCACACAGGTATGAAGAGCAAACAAAGCATCCTGCCCTGAGCAGGAAGGGTGAGGCGGGGACAGTGCCCAATGGGGCCAGCCTGGCCAGATCCAGGCTCAGGATTCCCACCAGCATCCCAGGAGAGGGGGAAGTGATAAATGAGTCCAAAGCAGGAAGAGCCTGCCTGGGTGGCTGCCCAAAGACCTTCTTCTTTTGGGGAAGCTGAGTGCAAATAAAGATGTTGCGTTATGCAGTTTGCTCCTTCCTTTTCCCGCTGGGAAATGCAGGTAAATGTTAGCTCTGAAAGGCCCACAGTGCAAACAATGAGCCACTTCATCGTGCTGGAGTCTGCAGAAACGTGTCTTTATGCTCAGGAGGTTTTCTTTTGGGGAAAATTGTCATAAGTGCTTGGAGGGCTGTAGGAGCACGATGGCCATGGGGTGTCAGGGAGATGTGCTCTTACATCAGGCAGGCTGGGTCCTCTCATTGTCCTCCATATCTCCAGTGCTGCCCGTTCAGCTTTAAACCTGAGCAAGGCGGTTGGAGCACTGCAGGAAAAGGGACACACGCCCTGGTGGACGGGGCACAGTCCAGGGGGAAAGTGAAGGACAAGAGGATATTATCAAGGGAAAGAGGCATTACTGTGGCAGACAGCAGCAATCCTGGTACCACACTGGCCCTGGGGCATGTGGGGTTGTCCCTCTTGGGGACATTTCCCACCATGAAAGTGGGAGGAAAAGACACACATCACCTCTCTGCCATCTCACTGGGGATGTGACTGAGCATGATGGGGAAAAGCCTGCACACCCCTGGGCTTTGGGGCTGTAGGATCCCATTGCTGACTCAACAGGGACATCCAAACCCTGGGCATGTGGCCTGTGCTCCAGCATCAGGCCCATGATATGGTGGGCTCAGCTTCTCACCCATGGACCTGTCCAAGGATTCTTCTTGCTCACAGTGGGATGCACTGGTCCTACCCAAAGGGATAGATGGATGTTGAGCATCCCACTCCCCTCCACTGGGATCTGAGCTCCAGCAGCATGGGGAGAAGTCACTTCTGACCTGCTCAGGCTCCAACCATGTCCTGCCATGAGAAAATCAGCTCAGAGCTGGACAGAAAGATGCTGGGAGCTTCTGGCACCTGCACTTGCACTGCTGCCACCACTGCTGGGGCACATGGGACCAGCGCGGTGCCTGCAAAGTCAGCTCAATCCTTAGGGAGACCTGACGCATTCATGCCATGAGTAAGGCAGCTCCCTCCCTCCCTGCTCTCCCGGCGGGGGGCTGAGGTCCCGGACCCCCTCCCCGGAGGGGTGCTTTTGACAGACAGCCCTTCTCCAGCCTGCGAGAGCCGTCCCTCCTCCCTCCCCGCTCAGCAGCCATCCTCAACTCCAGGAACACCTTCCCTCCAGCCTCGCTCCCCCCGTTCCCCCGCCGGCAGGAAGGTGTTTGTGTGCCCCCCCCCCCGTTTGCCTGTTGTCGCTTCGCCCTCTCCCCCTTCTCCCTCCCTATCTCCGGAGAAAGCGAGAGGAAAAAGTGTCAGGAGCGGGGAGCTCATAGCAACAGGATTCTGGGATGAAGAAGATTCGGCAGCAGCATCTCCGGGAGGTGAGAGCCGGGAAGCGGGGATGCCCCCAGGGCTGGGAGCCGGGGACAAGGCATGGACTCGCAGCCATGCCCTGTACGGGAACCTCCGTGGGGAGACGACAGACTTTTCCCTGTCAGGGATTGCCCACGGGAATAGTGTGTGTGCGTGGGGCAGCAGCGGGATGTGGGGCAGAAGGATGGGGACATTCCGTACGCGGGGCTCGCTGTGGTTAGTGGCCAGTGGAGGGCCTGAGCTGCCCCTTCCCCTGCCCCTTCCCGCGGGATGCCGGCGGTGATTCCCGGGGCAGAGCTGCCGCCCGCAGCGTGGTACCCCGGGGGGAGGCTCCCAACGGCCCCAGGGGGGGCTGCCCGGGCTCGGGGTGGTGGAATGTGAGGGGTTCCCCCCCATCCTCCGGGATGAGCACGGGGAGCTGGGTAGTGCCTTTCCCACCGAATGTCTCCTCCTCGGATGCGTTTAAAGGTAGTGCTGGACCCTGACTTCTGGGGTCAGGGCAGAGCTGAAAACCCTCTTTGTACCCTTATGGAAACCCGTTTTAAGCCCCGTTCAGGCTTTCCTATCCTTGGCTCCCCTTAGAGCCACTCCAGGCTTAGAGTCCCCATCTACCCTCACACTGAGGACCAAGCCCCTTCTCCTGCCCGGGGGCACGCTGCTGCTGCCGGTGGGTCAGCCCTTCCCAGAGCATCCCAGGCTCTACCCTCTGCCAAACCATGCCCACTAACCACAGGGCAGAGCTACTCCAACCTGCACCAGCCTTCAGATGAATGAAAACCCAGGAGAGTTTCATCCCTGGCAGGAAATTCCTAGGATATTGGGATATGACGTAAAAAAAGCCAGCAGTGGCCTGGTGAAAGCCAGCAGCCTCGGGGTTGCCTTTCCTCCTCCGTTGTTGTTTGGAGCCATCATCTGGCTCTTCCCTCTCCTCCTCTCTCCTGCAGATTGCTTTTTCAGATGACTTTGTGACTGCAAGAGCCATTAAAAGTTGTCCTTGCCCCTTCCAAAGGCTTCCTGAGATCCTTGAATTCCTCTGCTGCTGGTGATCCTGTTTAGCATTTATTCAGGAACTCATTTAGTCCCGCAGCTATATGCTGGAATGGAAAGCAGATGTCTCCAGAGTTATTTTCCTCATTCCCACTGCTGCCCAGGGCCCTGCTGTCCTTCATTACCCCAAAATACTCTTGCTGAGTTCCAGATGGAGAACCTGATGCTCACAGCCACCCAGCACCTTGGGATCCCCATGTCCAATGCTGGGATTGGGCTTGTCCAGAGCCATGCATGGCCAATGGAGGAGTTTGCACAGCCCCAGCTGCAGCACCTACCCTGGGGCCCCAATAGCATCCTCTCCCTGTCACTGTGATCTGCTTTCCAGCAGTGAGCAGGGAGTTTTAAGCCTTCTCACCAGGCATGTTTGAGACATATGGAAATTCCTCTTTAATAGAGAAGATCTTTCTCAGGCTCTAAGGATTTCGGGTTCGCATTTGCATAAGAGAAGTTCCAGAAGAGCAGAATGGATGGGTTTTATTTGTTTGATTATTTGCTTTGGGGGTTATTCAGTAGAAGTGGACTAAAGCCCATGGAGAGCAGTGGTGGGAGCCAGGATTTGGGCTGTGCCTCCCTGTACCCAGCCAGGCCTGAGCCGCTGCCCTCCTCTGCCTGCCTCAGACCTTCCCCACTCCTTCCCCACGGTTTTAGGATGAAAGTCCATAAGAATTCGCAGTGGTGCACACTCCCTCTGGACACCGCTGCAATGAGTTTGTTTCAGCCTCAGCAACCTCCTCATATCCCCTGTGCCGGCTCCAGCATCACTTGCTCCCTCTCCTGGCATGTGCTGCGATCCCAGGCTGGGGGAACCCAGGGTTGGCGCAGCCCTTCGAGGGGCTCCTCCACCCCATCGAGGTGTTTCATTTACCTCCCTTTCTAAGAGATTTTGCATTTGAATTTTTGAATTCATTTTTATGCTGTTTTCTCTCATTTTTTTTTATTCCCCCCGAAGAGATTAACCAGCAATTCAAACTAATCCGAAGTGACTCACACTCTACAGACGCACTGTGCTCGCACATGGCTCAGATCCACAGGGGAGGAATTTGGTGCCGGGTGGCATTCCTCCCAACCAAAGGCTGTGGTCCACGCAAAACCACCGACAAAATAACCCCACAATGCCCGTTTGAATGGAGACAAAATGTGATGAAAAAGTAACTTTAATCTGGCTGGTTTCTCATGGATGCAGCCGAGATTTGCACTCATTAAAACAAATTGGTTTACAGAAAATAATTAGCACAAGGCAATTTCCTTATGGAAGCCAGCTCTTGTCTTGGCAGAGACTAAAATGCTTTTTCTTCCCAGTGACCTTTGCTTTGCTGACTTCTTTGGGAGCATCTTGTGGTGAATAATGGAAAGTGATGCCGTGTTCAAAGAGGACGTGGTTGCCAAGGGAGCTGTTAGTCCCCGTCTGTTTATAACCGCGAGACAGGGGCCCGCTTTGAAAGATGGCTGTTGACTGTGGAAAGCACTAGAGCAATATTGTAGCACTACAGCACTTCAGCTGCGGCTGGAAAAGAAGGTTCCTGTTATGACAAAGGCTGAAAAGGAGCATTAATCCCCAAAAAAGAGGACGGAATTGAGCCAGCATGTGAGATTTCAGCAGTCTGAAGTAGTGTGCATCTCTCTGCTATCTAGGATAAAGATGGGCTGCAAGCCCTAAATACTGCATTTTGCAGTTCATTTTTAGTAAGTCAAATAGGCCAGGTTTGCTGTGATTTCTATGGAAATGCTATGATTTGAGGCATTTTGGGGCATTACAGTCCTGGAGCAACCTGTCTGTGTGTTTTCCAGCAGCATCCCTGGCCCATGTTTCCCCAGCCTGCCCGTGGCTGCAGTGTCTCACTCCTTGGGGCCTATCTGACTCCAGGTCAGTCTCTGCTGTCTGCTCTGGAGTCCCAAACTTTTAAACTGCAGAGCTCCAGCTAAAGATACCAATAAGGTGGGGCAGTCATCACTAAGGCATGGGTGACAAACTCTACCCTATGGACTCTGGAAAGGGTGACAGAGATGGGGACTGGGGAAAGGTTTTCGTTTGGAAAAGGTCCTGTTGGTTCCTTTCTTCTCATTTGGTTGCTTCTATGTTGATTTCCATGCCACATCTGATGGATGGGCTCCTTCATTTAGACAGGTCATGCAGCTGCCCTTCTGCAGCTGTTCAGGATTCAGGCAGAGGTGCAGGAATTAAGCAAGAGGATTTAATGATGTCCCAGCATCCCTGCCTGCTGTTTTGGTGTGATGCGTACCTGGAAAGCAAGAGGTCCCCAGCAGTGTGACAGACTGGGAAGCATTCTGGTGGGTGTAAAGACCAAACTATGATGGCCCCATAGCTCCTGTTCCCATGCAGAGGGACCTTTGTGAACACAGGGTTTAGCTGCTGAAACTCGGGGGGGGGGGGGATGTAGCAGAGCAGTCTGTCCCTCACCCACAAACACAGGTTGCTGTGGGTCACGCTCACTGTGTGTGCTGGGTTAATTATCAGGCATGGCCATGGTTTGGAGAAGTTGCTAAGCTGGAGAGCTGTGTTAGCTGCAGGAGGGCTGCCAGGCAACAGCTTTACAGCGACAGGATTGGGGTCACATTCTGACTTTTCATCCTGTGTTTCTGAAGCTTTTTCTTCTGGCCCTTGCCTTGTGAAGGCACCATCCAGCGGGTATGGGCTTTTAATGATGGGGTTTAGTGTAACACCAGAGCTCAGGCTCTGCAGTTCAGGTTGGCTTTGGGAAGAGTTTGCTCTGCTTGTCCTGTCCCCCGGGGGGTTTTCATGCTGGGTGGGGATGGGTTCACCCCTGTGTTTGGTGCCTTAGGGCTATGAGCTGGGGTGCATCCTGTGAAGGGTGGGAGCCTGCAGCCATCTCCATCAGCAGCGGCTCCTTGTCTCCATGGGAACTGACAGCAAGAGTGTCCTTTGGTCCAGCCAGAGAGGAGGAGGAGGAGAGGAGATAGCTGCCACCTTCCCCAGGGGCTGAAACAGGGCAGCACTGGGCTCTGCTCATCCAGCTCTCGTCTCCCAGGGGATGGAGGAAGGCCTGCTGCAGGCTTTAAGCACTTATGTCCAGTGGGGACCAACAACTCCTTCTGGCTGATCCCTCCAAATCCAGGCCCCTCTCCCTCAATCACATCCCATGGGCTTGTTCCCTACAATCCATGAACTTAGGGACATGGAGATGGCTGCTTTTTTTCTTTTGAGAGCCCAAAAAGAAGGGAAAGTTCCCAAATGGGCTCCTCCTGTCCTGGTCCCAGTGCCTTGCCAGCAGGTACCACAGCATCCTCCTGTCTCTGTACCTCAGTACCAGGTGAACTATGCATCCTAAAGGGAGTCAAATCCTCGGGCAAGGTAAGGACTGGACAAGTGTCAGTGCTGTAACTTGGAGTCACAAACTCACACCAGAGCTTTCAGAGCTCCTTCCTTCTCCGCTCTTCATCTCCTGCTTTTATTCCTTCCTTAACCCTCTCTGCTCTATCCCATGCCCTACTCTCTTGCTCAGCCGGTGACCCCAGAGCTCCTGGTGAGCCCCAGCAGCCAGGATGGGGACCTAGGCTCTGGGTGCCCAGAGGACAGAGGGAACTGGACGGGGCGGCTGGATTTCCTCCTCTCCTGCATTGGGTACTGCGTGGGCCTCGGAAACGTCTGGAGGTTCCCCTACAGGGCTTACACCAATGGAGGAGGTACTTGGGCATCCTTTGGAGGGGCCACATCTCCCCCTGGCTGAGCTGGGCTGGTGCAGTGTTTTAGGGTGTTTTTCCTTGCTTCTTGCAGGAGCTTTCTTGGTTCCTTACTTCATCATGCTGGCCATCTGCGGGATCCCCATCTTCTTCATGGAGCTGTCCCTTGGCCAGTTCTCCAGCCTGGGGCCGCTCGCTGTCTGGAAGATAAGCCCTCTCTTTAAAGGTGCGTGAGTGAAGTCCAGAGCTTCTGTGTGGCCACTGGAAATGCTGCTTGGTGAGGACATGGACCAGCATCCGCATCCCATGATCCTCAAAGCTCGTGTCAGAATCAAAGGTTAAATCCTGGGGGCAGGTGGAGCAGGCTGGACTTCTGGGTTAGCTTAGTAGCTGCAAGATATGTATGAGATCTATCAGTCTTTGGAGGCTCTGGAAGTCATGTTATATAAAAAGCCAGCCAGTGTACAAAATACAGCCCCGAAGCTGAGCAATGGCTGTGGAAGACAAAGGTAATAATAAAGCATTCAAAAAATGGTCAAATCAAGCACTTTTGACATTAAGTTGGAGTAAAACCATCTGTATGATGAAATAGATCATCAGTTCAGAGAAGGCTTCTTCAGAGGGTGCAATAAGGTCCCCCCACCGGTTAAACCTTTGGCTGCTGAGCTCCAGTGTCTGACCCTGGTTTTGGGTGTTCTCTGCTCCAGAGAGATGGCTCATTCCTTCTTTACCCTCTCCTTCCTCCAGGCGTTGGCATGGGCACCATCCTCATCGTCTCCCTGGTGGCCATTTACTACAATATGATCATTGCTTACGTTCTCTTCTACCTCTTTGCATCCCTCACAAGCGACTTGCCCTGGCAGCACTGCGGCAACTGGTGGAACACCGACCTGTGCCTGGACCATCATGTCATCAAGGCGGGGAACGCCACCTTTCCCGTCAACATCACCAACACCGTCAGCCCCAGCGAGGAGTACTGGAGGTACAGAGCTCAACCTGGCCATGGGGACACAGAATCATAGAATCCTTTGGATTGGAAGGGACCTTCTAAGGTCATCCAATCCAACCCCCCTGCAACGAGCAGGGATGTCTTCAACTAGATCACTTTCAGTTAAAGATTCCCTTTCCTCTTGTCTTTCAAAGTTTTCTACAGTGCTCCTTGTAAGTCACTCTCTGTATAGACATGGTTGGCATCCAACCAGCGAGAGCATGGGGATGGGGTGAAGGGTTTGTGCTGGATGCCTCATGGTTGGTGTTATGGATGCAGTGATGGGCTCTCACGGTCAGCTGTGGGCCATGTCTCAGTTTAGGCATTAGGATCATGTCTCTGGGATGTGGGAGATGCCCATGAGTTAGCACTGCTTTGCTGCCCTGGAGATACGTTAGACTGAAATGCATCCCATACCTGGACTGGCTGGGAATTCACTCTCAAGCCTCCAGGCACCCCTTGTGGGCTCTTTAATGCATGGTGAAGAAATCCCACCAGCTGCTCCCCCTTCCCCATCAAACAGCTGTCACTCATCGCTGGGATTTTTGACAAGGTTGTTTTTTGAGCAGAGGCATTGCTGGGTCCAGAGAGGCCTCAGGGAGAAGGCAGGGATTGCCCATGACCACTCACTAGTGGCTCTCCTTTCTCCCTAGCCGGTACGTCCTGCACATCCAAGGGAGTTCTGGGATTGGAAATCCTGGGAGGATCCGCTGGAACTTGTGTCTGTGCCTGCTCCTTTCTTGGACTATCGTCTATTTGTGCATCCTAAAGGGAGTCAAATCCTCTGGAAAGGTAAGAGCTGGACAGTCTTTTTGGGGGGATCTACAGCGATGCTCACCAGTGCCTGTGATTCTCTGCACATCTCGGAAAGTGAGACCCAGAAAGAGCATCCTGGGCATGGGTCCCACATCCAGACAGTGCCAGGGCTGACACCACTGGTCCTGCTGCATCCCAAGGACCGGGCAGTGCAGGGAGATGCAGTGGAGGGCTGGGAGGGACCACTTGTGATGTGCTCTCGCCCCCAGCTCTCTCAGTGGGCTCTGCTCTCCCGCAGGTCGTGTACTTCACCGCCACCTTCCCCTACCTCATCCTGGTGATGCTGCTCATCCGTGGTGTGACCCTGGAGGGGGCCTGGAAAGGGATCCGGTTTTACCTCACGCCCCAGTTCGATCACCTGCTCTCTTCCAAGGTGAGCAGGGTCTTGTCCAACACAGAAACAAACCTTTTCTCCTGCACCTCCAGTGTTCAGCAGAGGTGGGTCCTTTGGTGCCTTTTCTGGCCACCCTCTGACCTACAGTCCTCTCTAGATTGATCCTAGACCAGAAGTACTTGCCTTTGAGCAATGTCTTTGCTCCACACCTTGTCTATAGGGCTCTTCTCATGGGGCACAGCCCCATGCCTGCATTTCTGGTTCTCCATGCAGGGGATCCATTCTCACCATCTCCCCTGGCTACCAGAACCATGGGCAGGATTAGCCCCTGGGATGGGCTATGGGGTGCTGGATTTGGCTGTTTTGTTTTTCTCAAGCAATCTCAGTGTGCAGAGCAGGGATTTTCCTGGGATCAGCAGTGTTGGTAGCAGAGACCACCCAGTTTCACAGGGGCACTTAAATGTTACACTGGGCTGGATCTAAAATCCTCTCCTTAGTCCTTCCACAAGCCAACTGACCCACTGTGAGTGCTGGGTGCATTAGCAAGGAAAAGCTCTCCTCAGACATGCTTCCTTTCCCCAGGTGTGGATCGAGGCTGCCCTGCAGATTTTCTACTCCCTTGGGGTAGGCTTTGGGGGCCTCCTCACTTTCGCCTCCTACAACACCTTCCATCAGAATATCTACAGGTAGGAGCCAGCTCCTGTCTTGTGAAGAGCACGGGTTGGGGGAGCCACTGAAACCTCATCTGGTAGGTTCAAAGTACACGATCACTGAGCACTGCTCCTTGCCCAAGCACCTTATAGATACCTGGCAGCTTGCACAGGCTCAAGAGGGACAGAGGGCTCTGTAGAAGAAAGTTCTCCTAAGAATCAAGACACAACATCTGGCTGAGAAGTTTTGGGCTGTAGGTGCTGAATGCTGAGGATGTTTGGGGCTGGAGTTACGCCTGTTTGTCCTGTCCCTTGTCCTAGGGGAAAGCAAGCTTGGAAGGAACCCCACAAAATGACCTATGCCATTAGATAAACACTCCTTTTGACTATGAAAAGCACATGCCAAGAGAGGGCCTGGAGGAGAATCACTGTGGCACTTGGGACTGGCAATGCCACTGGTGTGGGGTGGGAAGGAGTGGGCATGCTCAGAGCATCTTCTTTCTCCTCTGTAGGGACACCTTCATAGTGACCCTGGGCAATGCCATCACCAGCATCCTGGCAGGGTTTGCCATCTTCTCCGTTTTGGGATACATGTCCCAGGAGCTTGGGGTCCCTGTTAACCAGGTGGCAAAAGCAGGTGAGGCCAAAGACCCTTTCCCCTTCACTTTCTGCCTGGGTGCACTGAGGAGCATCCCTTCTAGGGTGGGAGGCACCAGAGGGGATCGTCATGAGGGATGATGCTATATGCTCAGCTGGCCAAGGGGAGGGAAGAGGAGAAACCAGTTCCTGCCATGCAAACTGCAAGCAACACCAAGTGATGTCTAATAAAGTGATGTCTGAGCAAGGAGCATGCTGGTTCTCCTGCACCTCTCCCTCTGCTGCAGGACCCCTCCTGCACCTCAGTTCCCCACTGTGGTGCTGCTCTGCTGGACTCTCCTCTCCTCCATCCCCCTATGTCCAGCGCTGTCACCCCCTTTTCACCCTGCTGTCCTTTGCCTCCTTTAGGTCCTGGCCTGGCTTTTGTGGTGTACCCCCAGGCCATGACAATGCTCCCCCTTTCTCCATTCTGGTCTTTCCTGTTCTTCTTCATGCTGTTAACCTTGGGCCTGGACAGCCAGGTAAGGACAGAGCCCACTCAGCCAGCCATGGTGCCTGGGCAGCCCAGGGGCTCTGGGGATCCTCTTCTCCTTTGCATGCAGTTTGCCTTTATGGAGACCATCGTCACAGCAGTCACAGATGAGTTTCCTTACTACCTGCGGCCAAAGAAAGCTTCGTTCTCTGCTATCATCTGCATTGCCCTCTTCCTGATGGGGCTCATCCTCACAACAGAGGTAAGGGTTGGGGCTGGATGCGTTGCGGAGAGCTTAGGGCACAGGCTGAGTTTGCAGAGACACCGATATTCACATCAGCTGTCGAGGTGGAAGAGAGACAACTGATGATTTTGGGCTTCATTAGGATGTAAGGTCCAAGGGGAGCAACACAGCATTATCCTGTCCCTGCACAACCCCAGAACAATGATGTCTTCTGTGGGTGCCAGACCACTGTCTTCCTCAGTGCCCACAGAGGGGCTAAGAGGACTGTATCCCCAAAAGCAGGAGGACATGGGTAGGGGTTTATTGGGATGATGGCCCCAGAGATGCTGGCCACTGTGCTTTGCCTCCACAGGGTGGGATGTACTGGCTGGTCCTACTGGACGACTACAGCGCTGGCTTTGGTCTCATGGTGGTGGTGATCACTACTTGCCTCGTGGTGACACGTGTCTATGGTAAGGTGTCTGTCCCCACAGGGGCACGGGGAAGGGTGGGCTGTGTCTATGATACAACTGTGTCTGTATCACAGCTTCTGTGTCCTGCTCCCTCTGCCTTCTCCAGGCATAAAGAGGTTCTGCCGAGATATCCACATGATGCTGGGCTTCAAACCAGGTCCCTACTTCAGAGCCTGCTGGATGGTGCTGTCCCCAGCAACAATGATGGTAACTACTGGCATCTCCTGCCCCAGGGACCATTCGGGTTCTGCTCGGAGGTTTCCATCATCTCCAGGCCCTTTTTGAGCAGGAGACCTTCAGAGGGCTCTGGGGTCTCACTTTCCTCCCATCCGCAGGCTCTCCTGGTGTACAACATCGTCAAGTACCAGCCCTCCGAGTACGGCAGCTACCGCTTCCCCGCTTGGGCCGAGATCCTGGGCATCCTAATGGGAGTCCTGTCCTGCCTGATGATTCCCATTGGCATGGTGGTGGCTGTGCTCCAAGAAGAAGGGACACTGTGGGAGGTAGGAGGTGCTGGGGCCGGCATTGCTGGGGAGCACCCCACAAACACGCAGGGGTGACCACGAGCCCCTGTATCTTCTGTCACCTTCTGCATCCTCTCTCCTGGAGGTGCGTGTCCCCATCCCTCCTTGCTGCCCATGGGGTGTGAGAGATGGTGCATTCCCAGGGCATGTCCAGCATCACCTTCCCGTGGTGCCCGGCAGGCACTGAGTCACACTGCTTCCCAAGGGACATCCCTTTGTGCATCCCCCCTCCAGAACAAGCCTTGTCCTTTGGGTCTCACATTGTCCCTAGCATGGGGCAGGCATGGGCGCGTGGGACTTCGCACCCATTTTGCAGGAACAATGACAGCGAGGAATGCAGCTGCCATCCCCTGCAGGCAGCCACAGGCAGCACGGGTGGGATGCTTGGAGCAGGCTATGGAGCTGCCTGCAGCTTTCCCAGCCCTGCTGGGCTTTGCTGCTCTCCCCGGGCTGTCTGAAGCAGAGACAGCAGAGCCTGCTTTCCCCCCACCCCAGAAACTCCCCAGCCATAGCAGGGCACTTGCACAGAGCTGCCTTCCCAAGAAGCTTCAGCACAAGTTTCCATCCTATTCTATCCCATCTCATCCCATCCCATTCCACTGCATCCCATAACATCCCATCCCATCCTATTGCATCCCATCCCATCCCATTGCATCCTATCCCGTCTCCATCACATCTTATCCCATCTTATTGCATCCCATCGCATCCTATTTCATCCCATCACATCACATCCCATCCCATTGTACCCCATTCCATCTCATCCCATTCCATCCCATCCCATTGCATCCCATCACATTGTATCCCATCCCATTGCATCCCATCCCATCATATCCCATCCCATCCCATCTCATCCAATCCCATCCTATCCCATCCCATCCTATCCCATCCCATTGCATCCCATCCTATCCCATTGCATCCTATCCCATCCCCATCGCACCTTATCCCATCTCATTGCATCCCATCGCATCCTATTTCATCCCATCACATCCCATCACATCCCATCCCATTTTACCCCATCTCATCCCATCCCATCTCATCCCATTCCATCCCACCCCATCCCATTGCATCCCATCACATTGTATCCCATCCCATTGCATCCCATTCCATCATATCCCATCCCATCTCATCCAATCCCATCCTATCCCATCCCATTGCACCCCCTCCCACCCTCACTGGGTGCAGAGGTGTGCAGGGTGCCTGTCTCCCCGCAGCGGGTGCAGCAGGCCAGCCGGCCCACCATGGACTGGGGCCCGTCGCTGGAGGAGAACCGCACGGGGCTGTACGTGGCGAGCCTGCCTGGCAGCCAGTCCCCCAAGCCCCTCATGGTCCACATGCGGAAATACGGCGGCATCACCAGCTACGAGAACACGGCCATCGAGGTGGACCGGGAGATGGAGGAGGAGGAGGAGTCCATGATGTGATGGGACCCCGCAGGCTGGGAGGGGGCTCACCCCCCAGTTCACACAGGTTGCACTGTGGCACTTCAGGACAGCCCCAGCGGGTGGGTTTGGGAGCAGTTGGGAGGTGCTGACCCTGCCGGTGTCCTCATCACCGCCCTGACCCAGCCAGGATGGAGCTGCTGCTCGTCCCTGTGTCCCGAGGTGTTTCTGTTCAGTGTGACGACTGTGTGACACGTCTGTGTGCTCCTGTGACGGTGTCTGGCTGTAGTGTCCGGGCTGCCCTTCTCCACCCTCAGCCCTAGCCCTGCCCTCCCCATGCAGGGATGCTCCAGCTACAAGGATGCGCCAGCTACAGGGATGCAGAGATGCTCTGGCTGCAGGAGGTGGGGAGGAGGAGGACATCCTCTGCATTGGTCTGCTCTCTACTTGTGTGTATTTAACTCCAGTAACCCACAAACACGTGTGAGAAAGGACTATAGCATCCTCCATGCCCTGAGGATAGTGTGTACCGGAGGCACTGCAGCAAAACCAGCACAAATCAGTGTCCCGCTCAAGGAATGTGACCTAATAAATGAGCAGTTGAAGCGATGAGAAGGAAGAAATAATAAAGCTTTCTAAGCAAACCAGCTTGGGCCTTTCCAAGCTTGCACATCCCCCAGGGACCCCAGTGGGTCAGGCCAGCTTTTCCCCATAGTGTCTGGTAGGGCTGGGGCGAGCTGTGCTCCATGTGTGCAGGAGGTCAGAGATGTCTTAGCTGGACCCAGCTCCAAAGGAGGATCAGTTCCCATCCCCAAGGGAGATCCAAGGGTGCTGCTTTTCCCAGGGAAAGAAGGGCTGTGTTTCAGTGCCTGTGTGTGATTTTGGGGTGTCTCCCAGGGCTTATGTCCCAAAGACCAAATCTGCTGATGCTGCTGTCCTGGGAAGTGCCAGTGAGGTCCTGGATGGGGCTGTTGGGACCCAATGCTGCCAGTCCCTGTCACCCCAGTGTCATGTGCACCTTCTCCCATGTCCCACCAGCTCACCATTAAAAAGCAGTGTGTGACACAGCTTCTGCTTGGGTTATTTGGGGATCCTCAGCATGCAAAGAAAGGCACATCCAGGGATGCTTCCAGGGGTTGGGGGCACAGCCCTCATGTGCTTTGTCCTGCAAATCTCTGTCCTGGTCAGGTAAAAGCTAAAAACCCAGGATAAAGCGAAAAAATAGTGTTTATGGCTGGATGATGTGGCCCTGGTGCACTGGGCTGTTAACCCCATGGGCCATGCAGCCCAGGAATGAATCCTGGGACAAGGCTGCAATTTTCCTGAATGACCCTTCCTAATGGTGGAGGAGCTTTCGTTACTGCCTTTGTCCTGCTCAGGCACCTCCTCATGCACGGGGGTCCTGAGCATCCTCCCCAGCCAGCTCTGCCCTTCCTTTTTCCTGCAGGACCACCAATGGCTTTCCACATCCCCACAACGCACCCCACTATGGCAGCAGGGATGATGGGGGACCCCCAGCCTCAGCTCCTCCATGTGTGCGGGGCTCACGACTGTGCTGCAAAGCACCTTTGGCAGCTAGGCAGGGTTAATCATTAGAGACCAGCCATAAAAGCATCGCTGATGGAAAGTTCAGGCTGTGGTGGCTGGGCAGCAGGGAGGGCCTGCCATAAACGTTTATGGCCCCAATGAATCCCTCGCTCTAACCTTGACACTATTTACCGAGCAAGAGGCCTCAGCAGGTCATGGTGCTGCCCAGCCATTGCTGGGGGTGCTGGCTGGGGAGCACAGGCTGGGCTGGCCCCTGGAGGGGCACACATGGGAGTCTGCTTGGTGTGATGGAGCCGGTGATGGTGTTTCATGTTGCTGGTGGCCACCATGTGCCAAAGGAACCAGGAGAGCCTGATGCGTTCCCACAGCATGGAGATGGAGGTGCTTTGGGCTGACCAAGCTGGTCTGGTTTCTGCATGTATCTGACCTTTTTCTATTTGCATGAGGTCCTGTCACATTTCCTAACCCCCCCCCCTGTAACCCCAGGATCCTCAGAACTTGGTAGCTGCTGTCAATCAGTTGCAGAGCGATGGGAAGGATGGAGCAGAGGCTGCACCAGGGATGTGTTGGGAAGCAACGCTGATAGCAGTGAAAGGAAACCAAGGGCAAAAGATGCTGGGGCAGTGGCACAACAGAGGGGTCATCCCCAGGGCCATGTGTGGCTGAGCACAGGGAGGTGTGGAATGCGCTGGTGGCAGCACACCCTGCTCCTGGCAGCGATACCGGCATCCCGGGATACCAGCCGGTCTTCCCAGGGACCACGGAGACAGGCACATCCCCCGCGCTGCTTTGGGCTCCAGGGAGTCCCGCTGCTCGCTCCGGGAGCCCGGGGCTCGCTCCCGGTCTGATGCTGCTCCCTGCCGGGGACGCGGCACATGGCAGGGATGGGGATGCGGAGGAGGGATCTCGCTGCCCAGGAGCGGCGGGGCCTGACGTGCGCCGTGGGGCACAGGGACCGTGGCAGCCCGACCCCAGCCCTTATCCCCCGATGCCACCCTGACCTCATGGGCAAAGCTGCCCCTGCGATCCCCAAACCCACCCTGGGGTCCCTCTGGCTTTTCACAAGGGCGGGTAGTGTCAGGGGAATGGCTTCAAACTGACAGAGGGGAGATTGAAATGAGCTCTTAGGCAGAAGCTCTTCCCTGTGAGGGTGCTGAGGCACTGGCACAGGGTGCCCAGAGAAGCTGTGGCTGCCCCATCCCTGGCAGTGCCCAAGGCCAGGTTGGACACAGGGGCTTGGAGCAAGCTGCTCTAGTGGAAGGGGTCCCTGCCCGTGGCAGGGGTTGGAGCTGGATGAGCTTTAAGGTCCCTTCAACACAAACCATTCTATGGTCCTATGACATAAAGCTCTCCCGAAGCCCAGGGATGGTGGTGGCCAGGCAGGGTCAGGCATTGCCCACGGTACCAACATCCTGCAGGCAGGAGGAAAGCCCCCGTTGCCTGCAGCCGCTGCCCAATGCTTGATCCCAGCCTTTCTGCTTTCAAGGAAAGAGCGCGGTGACAGCGGGACAAGGCGGTGACAGACAGTGAGTCACTGCAGTGACGGAGAATCACCCGTTTCCATGCTCAGAAGTTGGTAGCTATTTATTGCACTTGAACACCAAGAATAAAACTGACACTCGCCCTCCCTCCCACACCCACCCCGCACCCGGTCCCCCCGCCGCCCTCCCCAGATAGAGCATCCGATTTGAGCAGTGATCATTCTGTTCACAGCCACAGGTTCCAAATAAAACAAAGGAAAAGGAAACAAAAACATCCCCCCCCTCCACCCAGAACCCTCCCACCCCAAGCTCCCACTGAATCCAACACGGTCACACTGCTCAACAGTTCGAGTGCACTTACGAAAAGAGAAGAGAAAGGCTTCAGCTGCAACCGCACGGACTGACAGACACGAGGGGACAGGCAGCCACCCCTCCCCGGGGCCTGATCTTCTGTTACATGACAAAGCTTGGTAAACTCTTCCTTATAATATATTTTTTTGCAATCATCTTAAATAAATATTTCCATAGAGGTTTCCTGTAAGTATATAGTTTTATATATATATAATATATATGAGAGAGAGATCTCATTTTTTTTCTCTTAAATCACTGTTAACATTTTCCCTGCTTGTCCAAAAAATGTTACAAAAGCCCTAAAATTGTGCAACAGTTAGAAAAAAGGGACAACAAGAACCCAAAGAAGGAAGGAGCCGCTCCATACAGCCCCCTCCTCTCCCTGTGACCTGCAAGAGGGAAGGACTTGGCCAGGAGCTGGTGGGTGGCCTTTAGGGATGGATGGCAGAGGGGCCATCAGCCCCTCCTCTGATGTTCTACAGCCTGTTCACATCTGGGTTTCCCTGTCTGGTGTGGATGAGCTGGGATCTGTGCCTTTGGAAATGGGCAATGTGAGGTCTCTACCCTGCTAGGAGGAGGATGGTTGTTGCATCAAGAGAGTGGTGTACACCGTGAGGTGTCCTGCAGTAGGGAAGAAGGGTTAGCCCTTCTCGTCAGAGGAAATGGTGATGGGATCTTCTGCTGACAGACACGCCTTGGTCCACAGGGCTATGTGGCTTTCCCTCCCAAACGTGGCACTGCTCTTTGCTGGTCCTCCCCAGCGATCCTGCCATGGGCTGCAGAGCAGACCATGATCTCAAAATGGGAGCATATGGTTACTGCTGCCTGCTCCAACCTCCAGGGCTCCATGGGGGCATCAGCTCATAGAAGGCAAAGGGAAAGGAAGCAGGTTTGGGGTCAGACAGGGGTTTGATGCCTGGCAAAGAGGACATATACTTGAGGAGGAGGGGACAGACAGCACTCCTGTCTGTGCGTGACCAGGGGAAGGAGCAGAGCACCCACTCCCCCAGCAAAGAACAGAGACCCAGGATGGCCTCTTCCTTTTCTGGACCAGCAAGAGCTGAGACATGATGATGTTGCAGCTGAACCCTGGCAGGCAAGAATGGAAAACAGACCATTGCCAAGCTCACCAAGGCGCTGTGAGCCTGAGACCACCCCAGCAAGGGCTTCCCCTCGGATAGCCCGTGGTCTGTAAGAGGTGGAAGAGATGACCCTTTTGAAGGGTTTGACCCGGATAGCCAGGCACCCAAACGAGTTGGGCTTTGTCTGTACTAGGGGATGAAATGTGCCACAGCCTAATCTCCAGCCTTGAGGCTGATGGGGATCCAGCAGGTCCATGGTAGTAATCTCCATCCCAACAAGGTAGCCTTGTCCATATTGCTTATGCTCTGGTCCTTGTCATCTCCAGGGCCATGGTGGGATTGTTGGGGTGATGCCAGTTAGCATGTGCCAGGGACAGTGCCAGCAGCTTAAAGGTACAGACATAACAGCAGCAGCCCTGGCTCTGTGAGCCAAAGGACAGTGGCAGTTGATGGTTATGTTTTAGTTTTCCTGCAAGTTTAGGAGAAATCAGGAGATACGAAGGAAGACAAGAGACAGAAGCTGTTCACCATGGCTACTGAAAGAAAGGGTTAGTGGTGTATCAGTGCTTGCACAGAGATGCTCTGGGAATACAGAAACCTGCTCTGGAGAAGCAGGGTGAGATGGGGAATAGAAACCAGGCAAAGCAGACCCCTAAAGTGCAGGTGCTTAATGCTGCCAGCGTGGGCAGGTTGGGAAGTTGGGTCTTCCTTGGTCAGGCTTCAGCTTGACTGGAAGACTGGAAGGAGTTGAAACCCCAGACTCTGCTTCCCTTGGAAAGGATAAGGAACATTTTAGGTGGTGCAAGGACATCCAGCTGCCTCCAGAGGAACCTGTCCCTGGAGAGACGACCACATTGAAACCTCAAAGAGGAGAAACCACCTCCGAGAAGGCACATCAGAAGCCTTACTGGAAACCAAGATGTTCCTCCCTACCAATGACGGCCCAAAGTGGGCTCTCAATGAAAGGAGATTGTGTCCATCACAGTATCTCATCCTCCATCCCTCGCAAACTCCACTGCTCCTCCTGTCCCAGTCCTTCCTCCAGTAGTGTCTGCTGGAACAGCTTCACCCTCACAGCTCATCCGAGGTCCACAGCTATCAGCAGCTCCAAAGCCAGGCTGAAATGGCATTTGCACTATAGCCCCTATGCAGGGCCCTGCTATGACCTCCTCCATCCTCATCCATCTCATACCGATCCCCAAAACCACTACTGACACCTGGAGAACCTGGGCATCAGGAGGTGGATGAGACACTCACTGTGGTGTCAGAGGGAAAGAACTGTGAAAGAGCCAAGTCCTTCCTTTAGAAAAGAAATAAAATCAGCACTACTTGACTACAGGAAGAAAAAACAGGTCTGTAAAACCACCCAAACTCTACCTTAAAAGCTAATCCTCTCCCTGCATGGATTTCCCTGCTTTGGGGCCACCTCTTGCAAGCCAACACAGCTCCACGGTCAAACATCACAGGTCCACCAAGAGCATGGAGAAGAACATTTGCATCTTCTACACACATCACCAGCAACCACCGCACCGCCGGCACAGCGGGACACAACAAAACACCTCTCAGGGCCTGTTCATGCCCCAGCAGTTTGGATTTCTTCCCCTCTATCCAGTGGGAAAATAGTTTTGCAGTCGGCAAGGACGAGGCTGCATTTTGCACAGCAGCTGTCCCTGCCTCAACAAGAGAGCAAAGCATTCAAAACCACAGAAAAGGCAAAATACACACTCAGAATTTACATGGAAAAAAACATCACTTTTTTTTCTTTTTTCCCCCTTTTTTGTTTTTTTTTTTTTTTATGTCCAAAACAAGCATTTTTTTTTGTTGTTCGTTTCTTTCTTTTTCAACACACACACTGTCTAGAAAGTTAAACACCATGCAGATGAAAAGAGTGGAGATAGAAAGTTCCCCCAGGGCAGCAGTGCTGCAGGAGCCTCACCTCAACGAGCAAAGAGCTTCCAGTCGGAAAAAAGAGAACAAGAAATGGAAGAATTGCCAGGAAAATATCCAACCTCGGACCTCTCCCTGATGGCAAAGAGGTGAGACCAAAATTCCCCTTCCCTGCCATGTCTTCTGTCCTGAATGCCATGTCCCAGTGGCTCCCCAAGAGCCGCTGCCTGGGTTTACCCTGCAGGAAGACCCATGGGGTGCAGGAAGGTGCCCCAGGAAGGTGGGTGCCCCTGGAGATGGGTGCCTTTGCCCACCCAGTGCTGAGGGATGGGATGGGATGGGGTGGGGACTGGCATCCGCAGGGCCCCTGGTAGGAGCATCGTGGCAGCACAGCCCATCTACAAATGTAAACGCAACGGAAAACAGCAACCCCCAAACCCACCCTCCCCGCCCTAAACAGTTGAACATTTCTAGTTATTACATAAAGATCCATTTCAGCAAATACTCAAAGTCAAGTTACGAAATACACAGAAGGTTGTTCTCCCTATAAAAAGGCATGCGCTCGAAGTAGAAGACAGCTAAAGGCTTGTTTGTTTTCTTCAAAGCACAGAGTTTTGTTACTAAAGCTCGCATTCCTCGTTGTCGCTGGAAGGAGTCGGGTAGGTGATGGAGGTTTGCACCCCGAATCCATGCCCAGCTCTGCTGCCCCCATCCCAGCATGGGGAACACTGGGTGCTGCATGCGAGGGGCAGGGCTGGAGGATCCAGGATGGGTCGTGGGTGAGGAGGAGGGCACAAGAGAGATGCTGTCACCATGGCATGGCTGGGAGAGCCCCGGCTCCCGCCTGTGCCAGCGCAGTGCTGGGAAGCAGTCATCTTTCTCCTCTCTTCTCCCATCTTTTCTGGTCCCTGCTCCAACAGGAGAAGGGAGGAAGGAGGGAGAGCACCCCCATCCGTCCGGAGCCAGGGTGCAAACCTACTCGCTTTCCTGAGGAGTCAGCCTATGCTCCTGGGAAGGGGAAACAAACAGATAGCCTTTACTCACCCATCCAAACACTGCCCTCCTCGCCTGGGGGCACGTGGAAAATGGACTTTGCAGATGGTTTAAATTGTGGTTCCCCAGTCAAGGCTGCCTGGAAACAGTAGTTCGGGTCGGGAGCAGACAAGAGCCACGGTGACAGACAGGGACCTTGATAGCAGCAAAGCAAAATCCACTGCACACAGGGAGGGTACAGCACGGAGCGGCTCCAAACTACCCCACCGCCTTCCTCGTCCTCAGGGGGCTCCCGGCGGAGGTGGGGATGGAGGCAGATGATGAGTCCGAGCCCAACTCAGGAGACGTGCTGGGTAGTGGGGGGGGGTCCCACCAACGCCATGCAGCTGAGGGCACATCACCTCACTGGCCAGACACTCGGGTTTAGGTTCATGGTTTCTCTTTTCTTGGTTCATGCAGAGGAAGGGGGCCCCGGCGGGGTGGAGGGGTTCGATGGGAGGTTTGCGCGGTGCCGGCAGGGCTGTTGCGTGTGTGCGGTGAGAAGCGAGGGGTTATTCCAGCGGGAACCAAGCAGCAGAGCCAACAGCCAAAGTCCCGTAGGTGAAGATGTCGGAGGGGGCGTCCCCTTGGTAGTCAGTCAGTGACAAACCCGACACGGGCAGGACCGCGCTTCAGCTGCAAAACACAAACCAGGAAGAGAAGGAGCTTGCTCCGACCATCGCTTTGGCAGAGCATCCCTCTCCTTATCACCTGCATCGTCCCCTCCTGCCCCCCACTCCCCATCCCCGGAGCCTCACAGGGGTTACTGCGGTAGGACCGAGGGTGCACCGGATCTGTGGAAGTGGACAATTTGCCATTTGCCATCCCGGCGGTGCCAGATGCGGGTCTCCTCGGACTGGGCAGTGCGGGGAATCCCTCCCGCGTCCACATACTGCGTGATGCGGATGTAGGCGATGCAGGCGGACTCGTCTCCCATCAGGTGGATGTGGGGATTCAGGATCGTCGTGTGCACAGGCTTGCTGTTCCGGGACCACACTGAAGAGGGCACAAGGACAAGTGGCTTTAGGCAGGGGAAAGAGTCTGGGTGGCTTTTGCAGTGCGGGAAAGGAAGATGCTTGGTTTAGGCTCTCTGCTTGGTGGGGCTGAGTCAGTGCTGCAAGGGTGGGCTCAGGATGGGTCCACCTAGCAAGCAGCTAACCAAACAACTCCTCTGCATGCAGCCTGTCCCCAGCTGACCTAACAGGCTTGATTCTCCTCCTGCTGGAATCTTCCAGATCAGCCAGAGATGCTCCCAAAACCACCCTTACCCTCCTCTCTGCAGGAAGCTGATGGAGATCAAGACACAGCCGGGCCCATGGGAGGTGGGAAGGGTCCCTCAAGATGCAAGGGGGCTGCTTACGGTTTTCGAAGTAGAATCGGTGGAAATCCAGGCCTTCCACGAGGTTGCCCAGAGCCTCGGGCTCGAAGGCAGTCATGCCAGGGTCACACATCTTCCTGGGGAGGTAGCAAGGGGAGAGAAAAGGGAGAGGTTATCTCAGGCATGGGACCCTGCAAGCCCATGCTCAGGATGACTCCCTCAGCAAGTAATTCAAGCAGAACACTGACCTCAGCCTGGTATGCTGTATGAAGCCCACCCCACCTCTCCTCCAGCCCGCTGACTGCAGCCGGGACCCCAAGCAGGCAGGGTAAATTCTCCATCATTCACCATCTCAAATTAAACCTCCCAAAACACGGCTATCTTCTTTGTAAGAAATAAAAACAGCAGGGAAACAGTCATATTCTCTGCTCTGCATCAAAATATCCCTGCTGTGATTCTCTGAGGCAGGGATGAAGACCTGCACTCGCTCAAACAATGCTAATTAAATAGGCCTTGGACACAGAAGGGTACTCTGAAGAGCATCAGCTCAGCAAGTAGAAAGCAGTTATGCTTCCAAACAGCCTGTGGCAATCTGGATATAATGGATACCATGGATGCAATGTTCCCTCTTCCACCATAAATCATGTTTACAGTTAGTTATTCATCCTTCTGCAAACCAGAAATAGGCTCATCTATAATAATGAGACCAGAGAGCTGTGGTCAGCTTAGTGTGAGAGAAGCACCAGGTTTGGAAACTGATGTCCCCTGCCTCCCGGTTTCAGTGCCACACTGCCACAACCTCGCCACCCTGGGCAGCAGCAAAACCTCCTGGGCTACACTTCCAGTGGAAGCACCCACTCTGGGAGGCTGAGCCCACACCCCGATCCAACCCCATGCTGAGCATACTCACGTGTAGGACTCAAAGTCACCATTGCTTATTGCTTCGATCAGCTGCTCTGTGACTTTAATGATTTCTTGCTTCCGTACTGTTGGTGTAAAGAGAAACAGGAAATAAAAGGAGAACACAAAGCAGAAGTGCTGGTGTTGGAACATCAGTGAGAGCTCTTGTTTTCATTAGAAACAGACCGCATGGCTTTGGGGGGCTTTGGAAACTGTCCAGGGAAAAAGCAGGGGAGTGACTTGGGAAAGAGATGTGGGAAAGGGCTTTCACCCCTGAAAGTCAGGGCAGCACAGAAAACCCCTGTATTTTCCTAAAGAGCAAAAGGTTTAATCACAGAGTGGTGAGCTGCCCTTGGCCACTGTCAGCTCATCTGGGAAGGGACTGGGCTGCAAGGGCAGGTTTAGCTTCCTGGGATGCAGGAGGAGCTGTCAGAGGTAACCCTGGTCTTATTAACAACGCTCTGCTTCAAATGCAAAGGAGCATCATGCTTGATTTAATTCAAGGATTGAGGAGAGGGACACCCACCACTTCCCAAGCACCACCTGCCTTCCCCAGGAGGACTCATGTCCCATTAACCCTCATGTCAGGCCAAAGTCCATCTTGGTTTGTGCTGAGATCGCTTTGAGAGACTTTACAAATTAGCACTGGTACGTTATTCCCTGGGTTATTCTTAGAAAGCTGACTCTGGCAGGCAGGTGGGAGGCAGGGATTTCCCCTGGAGGCTATTCCCAAAGGGCCATTTCTTTTGGAGGAGCGGGTAGCTGGGCTGCTATCCCTGCAGATTCCTGCTATTTCCATGCCTGTTTTCAGGGAACATCCCTATTTTTGGAACACCCCATCCTCCTCACCATTCAGAGGATCAACATCTGAAAGGCCCAGAGGCAGCTCGATGGTGGTGGGCTTCTCCAAAGCCAGTATCTCATTAGAGATGGCCAGACTAACAACCCCGGGGCACCCTCTGGAGCATCCTGCCCGCTTCCCCGTGTGCCCCCACCGGTACCTTTGGTGTCTTCATCCTCGATGGTGGTGTTGGTGCTCTCCGACGATTCCTGAGCAAAGAACAGAAAGGAGGGACGGGGCGGTGAGAGGGGCCATCTCCCCACGCCAGGTGGAGCTCGTGTGTTCGACAGCCCCCCGAGTCCGACCCGACTGTGCCGACGGATGGAAAGCAAGGAAAACACCAGCAGGTCCAACCCGTCCTCAACCACAGCTCTAGGGCAGCGCTGGCAGAGCCCTCCCTGACCTCCACTCCTTGTAGCCAAGGGCACAAGAGCTGGGCTGTGGAGGGTCCCGTAGGAACGGCGCTGCCTTTCCTACCGACACCTGTGGGGACAGAGATGGGGCAGGTCCAGGGGGGTTTGGTGGGTTCCTAGGAGCGTTGCCGGAGGGGCAGGGAGAGGGGCTGTGCAGGGGTGGAAGACACCATGTTGACTGTACGATAAAGAGAGAGATGTACAAATTAACAGCGAGGAGGAGCTGGGATGAGAAAGAGGGGACTGTGCAGGAGTGAGAGAGACCACACTGACCGCAGAGTAGGGAGAGAAATGTACGATAAAACAGAGTGCTTCCAAGACCCACATGGACCATCGAAGGCTGAGACACAGCTCTTTCAAGAAACAGCTGAGCACTACACAGATTTTGGGGGGAAAGAGGGGTTCTGACCCCCTGTCTCTCTCCAGGAGCCCCATCAAGGCAACTCTGCTAGCGGAGCTAGAGCAATGGCTCTGCTAGCTCTTCCCAGCAGAGCCTTGCTTATGTATTACCCATAATACCCCGATGTAGGTTGGCAAGGTGTCCCATGACCATACAGTCCCCGCAGAGGCATGGAAGGTGTTTCTCCAAGGCTCCTTGGACCGATGCAGCCTGCAGACCTGAGTCAGGAGAACTGGGAGAAACGGCATGAGAACCCATCAGCAAGAACCAGGGCTGGCTTCCTACCAGCCGGTGGCCAGCAAGTGCCTGCACCAACACTGTTTATGGGGTTTGTGGGTGATACGGCTTTGAGGATGTTCCCTCCAACCCCGGTGTCCCTTCTTCCCTACCCCGAGGTAACTTCCAAAAACGGGGGGAGCTGGAGCATGTGGAGGCGCCCAGCAATATCGGCATTGAGGAAGACGAAGGACACTCACCATTAACTGAACGCTGGAACTGGACTTTCTTTTCTGGAAAAACAAGGAGAAGAGATGGAACAGGAAGAGACACAGAGTGAGAAAGGCTGAAAGCAGCACGTGAGAGGCAGCAGCTCCTGAGCCACCCTTCGTGGTCCTCTTGGAGGGTCAAACGAAAGGCACGGGGGGGGCAACCTGGTGCTCCTGTAGGGGTGTGCTGCAGGCTGTGGTGCTGGTGGTGCCATGCCAGCTCCCTCCCCATGTTCCTGCTGGCACCTGACCTGCCGCAATCTCTGGTGTTGCTCATCTCAAGGACCTGGCTAGTCCAAAAGGGAGTCTCCTAGGACTTGATGGCCACTCTGGTGGCTTTGAGACCAGGCCATCAAGTTCGCAGGAACAGGAGTGGGATGCTGAAAAGCTAATGCAGCTCCACCACCCTTCACCCTGTGTGTATGCCATACTGACATTTAGGCTCTGGAGCTGTTCTGGGTGCATCTGCCCATGCTGCTAACTAGTGCGGAGATGCTCAGTTAGCTTTGGACCTAGACCAGTACTAGTCTGGCTGGTTTAAAGCCAGCGTTTCTTTTGCTACTCAACCCCACAAGGCAGACACACCATGTGGGAAGCTGTCCTGAGCACCGGTCCAGTGCTTTAAATCAGGACAAGTCTCCTCCAAAGAGAAGACCTTATATTTATCTCCATTCCTGACCACTACCACTAGGCTTTAAGGCTTTGGGGTTGCATGACCCCATAGCCACATTTCTGCCTGCAACTCCAAACTACTTTTGGACTCTCCTTGCTGTGTTCTGCTTCGCATCTCCATCTTTAATCTGCCCAGGAGACAGGGGGATGTGCATGCTGGCCTCATGCCCTTTCTCCACCTCCAGCTCCCAGGGGATGAATCACAGCAGGCAGCAGGGAACACCAGCGTGCAGGAATTAGAGGCTGCAGTGCCAAATAGTGAAGTATTTACCAGCACATTTAACAAGGCACTGGCTCTTCCTGCTCTCACAGGGGAAAGCAGCACACAGAGTGCAAACCTCCTGGAAAAGCCCATGGAGCAACCCATTAGGGGGTATGTGTGGGCTGCAGTGTAAAAGCTGTTGCTATCCATTCCCCCTCACTGCTCCTTTCACATCCTAACTGGCTCCCCGCAGCAGCATCACTGAGTTTCCCCCTCTGCTGATGCAGCTCTCTCCTCCCTCACCAGGTCCTACTTTAATCCTCATCTCTCCTTCACCAAAACAACAGATGTCCTAAAGGGCAGCGTGAGCTGCAGTACTTCAGAAGGAACCTCGTGTGGAACAGAGCTGTTGGAGTGGGGCTGACAGCTTCTGCTACCCAAGGATGTGAGAAGGGGCAGCAAACTGCAGAAGTTTCAGACGCAACAGAATGCAACACAAAGCAGTGACCGCGTCGAGTCTGGACATACAGTAACAGGATGCGACACGGGGCAGTGAGCTCATTAATTTAGGACGGGACAGGATGTGACATGGGGCAGTGAGTTCATTAGTTTACAATGGGACGAGATGTGACACTACACAGGGCAGTGAAGGTATCGTAACTGCTGGGACCAGAAGACTTCCCACAGACCCCAGCGCAGGGCTCAAGAGGGAGTTTTGGTCCCATGAATGCTTTAGTAGGGGAGGAACCTCCTCAGGAGGGTGTTTTGAGTCCTCGGAGCTTGGGCTAGCACCATCCCCGTGCTGGAGGGCTGTGCGGGCAGGCTGGGAGGCAGCAACCTGCTGCCCACTGCATTGCTTTAGGCAGGAACAGCAGCAGCGGCTGCTCTCATGGGGATGGTCAGTCCAGCAGATTCCTCCATAAGGGGACACAACTCTTCCTGCAATGACCCACACCGTGTAGCCTGACTCACAGCCCTGCTCTGAGCAGGCAGGACCGTTCCCTTCCCACCCAGCCAAGGCAGGTTTCCACTTTCCTGCCTTGCTTTTTCAGCAAGATGGAAAGAAATGACCACCGACCAGTGATGCCCTGACATGTGCCAGCTGCCCATGGAGGGCCATCAAAGCTTTGTCCAGAGCACCCAGCCTCCCTGTGCCCCATGAGTGGGTTATGCTGTAAATCCCCCCAGATTAAGCATGGGAATGAGGTGGGAATGGTAATGCTGAGGGTGGCCAACATAAGCAACCTGTTGGGAATGAGTTTGCCTCTACTTTGTCTTCTCCTCTTCTACCTTCTGGCCATCTAGCCAGCTTGTCTCACCTCTCCTTACTGGAAAGGGGGCAATAGAAATGCAAACTCATTCTGCAGAGCCTGTACACCCTATTGAGCTGAGTGTTGGCTGGCTGGCTGCGCTCAGGGTGAAGCCTCCCTTGCTGCTTTCCACTCTCCAACAAGGGGCTGAGGACTGGGGATACCAACCAGCCTCTGAAACCAGACCCTCCTCACTGAGTTGTAGTGATGGGCTAGAAGCCTGTTTACCCAAACCAGCTATTTTGCTATAAGTGCCCCACTTCCCAGGATAACAGCTGCCCTCAAAGCTACTTTGAAGTCCAAGAGGGAGTGTCATTAGCAAGTTGGGCTGGCAAATGGTCTTCTACCACCACACCATCCCAGCAATGCTAGAGATGAAATTCAAGGCTGTCCCTTTCTGTTGGGCTGGGCCTGACGAAGCCTCTCCATGCACCAATCTCCTTTACAGCTTAAAAATGCATCTCCTGATGGCTCTCACAGAATCATATCATAGACTCATAGAATGGTTTGGGTAGGAAAAGACCTTAAAGCTCAGCCAGTTCCAACCCTTGCCATGGACAGGGATACCTTTCACTAGAGCAGCTTGCTCCAGAATTGTCTGTTGTGGAGCTGAGCCCAGGTTTGGAAGCTGTGCATGGTCTCAAGCCTTGCAGGCTTGTCCTGTCCCAGCTGCTGGGTCTGGAAGGAGTGGGAGAAAGACAATCCAGCCCCAGAGCCCTGACTCCACTGAGGAGAGCAGCAGCCAGCTGAGGGCTCTGCGCTCCAAAAACCCTGCTCCCCTCACAGCCCAGCAGCTGGGTGCCTGTGAAAGGGCCCGAGGAAGGAGAGCAGCCATGCTGCAGTCAGGCTCCCAGAGCTCTGCCTGACCTGTCCTGTGGTGGGGAATGTGATCACAGCAGCTCTCCCTGCTGGGTGATGGCTTGTGTCCATGAGGGAACAGGTAAGGAAAGACCTTGGGTGGACCATTCCTTCCTGCAGGAGTTTGGCAGAGCTTGCTAACCACTGCCAACCACCACATCTCCATATCATCACAAGAAACCGCTCAGCAGCAGGATTTTGCTGCCTCCAGGAGCCACCTTGTCATGGCCTGGCCCCACATCGGAGGGTCAGGCGAACCTGAGGGCTCTGCAGGCCAAGAAAACAAGCACCAGCTTGTTCTGAGAGCATCACCAAGCCATTTATTCTGCCAAGTATCACCAAGCTCCTTTGCCCTGCCTGCACTGGGCACAGCGGGCCGGCAGTGCTGCTGAGAGGGCTGAAGACACCTATGTGCCACCCAGGAGCACCTCAGCCCTTGGGGACAGGATGGGACAGGATGGTGGGGATGAGCCCAGCCCCACCAGCCACACACTGGGGTGAGCAGGAGATGCAGCCGTCCATCTCACTTGATGGGTGAACCCCATGTCCCCTGTCCCCTCTCCTGGTCCATCCTCTGCCTCTCCCCTTCCCTGGGGGTCAGCAATGAAACGCTCTCCTCTCTCCCCTCTCTGGGTGCGCTGGGCACTGCCTGTCCTGGCAGGAGCCGAGCACGGGGACACACGGGGACAGCCGGGCCAAGAGCTGCCCTTTACAGCACCGGGTGCCGCGGGGTCCGGCGCTGCACGGAGACCCCACCGCAGCGCCCCGCAGCAGCGGAGGGCAGGCGGGACAGGGCGGCGGGGAGCGCGCTTACCTTCACGCCGTCATTCTTCTTGTTGCCGCCGCTCTTGCCTCCTGGAGAGAGGAGGAAGGAGATCAGGAGAGCCAGGCAGGGCACCAGGACCAGCAGGGCGAGGAGCAGCAGCATGGTGCCGGGCGGCAGGATCCCTCGGGAACACCGGCGCTCGTCCTCTCTCCAGCACAACCCTCAGGGGTGACCGTCCCGGCCTGCCCCGGTGGCCCGGGCCAGGGGCATGCCCCGTCTCCTCGCGTCACACTGCGCGCTATGGGGGGGCCGCAGGGCTGTGTGCGGGGGGTGCTGGTGCCCCAGCGTGGTGCAGCGCTGTGGAATGGGCTCCCCGCCTGCCGCCCTCTAATTTTAGCCCCACGCTGCCGGGATCATGTGCTGCGGGGCCGCCGACAGCTGCAGCCATGCTCTGACATGGATGGAAAGCAGGAGCCTGCCCCAGCGCCCACCGCCCGGCCCTCACAGGGACACCCTGGGATCGGAGGGGCTCAGCGCCATCCCCTGCCGCGCTGTGAGTGGGACAGGCAGCGCGATGAGGGATGCTTTTGAGTTTCCTGCCCTTTGATGCTGCGTGTCCCGGCGGCGCGGGGGCTGACACCGGATCCCCCCAGCTGCTGGGCTGCTCCAGCCCCACCGCAAGCTGCCCACAAGTGCTAAATGTGGGACCAGCACGATCCCCCCATGACAAATGCAGATACCAGCCATGGACACAGCCCCAGCACCCAGTGGGGCCACAGCTCCCATCTCCTACACCTCGCTCCTGGGGTGCCTTGGCAAAGCACCCATCTAATACCAAGCAGTCCCGTCAGCATGCCAGGCTTGGCTGGCTCATCCCATCACTGCAGCACCTCTTCTGGGGCCATCCACAGTGGTGGGGAGGGCTGGAAGTGACAGCAAGAGGATGAGCTCTGTGCCTGGGAATGGCCAGGATGCACTGAACCCTGCCTGTGGAATCCTATCTGCAAGGCTTGCTCTGAGGCAGTAGAGTGTCCCCAAGAGGACCCTGGGGCAGGGGAGCTTGTGGATGCACCATTACCTCTTGCCATGCAAAGGTTGGCTCCTTGCTCTGCTCCTGCGTCTCTATGCAGACTTTGGGATATAGGGAGCAGGAGGAGATCCCTGCAGGATCAAACCCAAGGGACCCTGCTGCCATCTGCCTGCAGTGGAACCCAGGGAGCTTTCCAGCACTTTCATGGTGTGGAGGATGCTCTCCAGAGCCAGAAACATCTCTAGGAGGACACTAAACCAGCTGCTTGAGCCCTGGCTGTCCTCAGCACCCACATCCTTACCCTGGCACAAGCCAGATGGTTGGATGTAGACTAAACCTCTGGTGATCACTGTGCCTCAGGCAGACACCTCTTCTCTTGCATCTCAACCCAGCCTGAAGGTACCAGGTAACATGGCCTGGCCTAGCATCAGGCTGCAACCTCAGCCCCACTGTAACACCAGAGGCAAAGCCAGCTCTCCAGACCCTATAGGTTTGCCCTGTAAGACAAGGAGGTGAGCCCCGGAGACGGCACCTACCGGAGAAATTCCTGGTGGCCAGCATGGTGGTGAGGATGGCCCCCTGAAAGACACAGAAGGCAGAAGGAAAGGGTGTGCTGGGTTCTTGCCCCCTTGCATCCCTCTGCTCCCCCCAGCCTTAGGGATAGAAAGCCCTGCTCATCACCTGTCCCCAGCCACCTCGCTGGAAGGAAACAGGCCCACGGGATGATATCCTCCTCCTGCCATCAAAAGCATCCCTGGGTACCCGACTCCACATCCTCAGCATTGGGTTGCATGCTCCGAAACTGCCTTTCCTCCAGGATTAAAGGGATATTAAATATCCCCAGGACACATTTCAGTCTCATTCTACCTTGCCCTGGATGTAGCACGACTCCACTGACCGGGGCTGGCAGCAGGGGGAGGCACCGGGAGCGGAACCGGATTTCATTGCAATTAAATCTGCGCCAGCTAAGTGCAGCAGGACAGGGATTTTTCATGGGAGCCACGCAAAGATCACCACCACAAAACAACATTCATAAACATGCTTCCCCTTTTCCAGACGAGGCTACCAACTAACTGCTCAGTGAATAATGGGATTACTTCGGACTGATAGCTTGCAGTAATGAATTACTATTTTGAAGTGTGTGCCTGAACTAATTGGATTACTTGTCTAGCCAAAAAGTAATAATAGTTTATAGCCAGTTTCTTTCCTTGATAATCCTGTTAGTGGCCTGCAGCTGTACTGCTCTGTGCCACATCACCTCCAGGCCTGGAGCGCTGATGGCTCTGATCGTGGCACAAAGCAGAGCTGTCCCATTCTGTGTCTCCAGCTCTGGGGGAAGCACTGTGATGTCCAGAGCCTGTTCCCAGCACTGTGCTGAGGCTCAGAAGCACCAGGAAGGTGGGTGCTTGGCAGTGAAGCCTGGGGAGACGGTGATTTCAGAGGGGGTCCAGGCTGCGGCACATGGCAGCATCCAAGAAGGGGAAGCTTGTGGGGATGCTGGTGCGGATGAACCAGAGCTGTTTGCCTGTCTATGGATCACTTTGCTCCCTGCCTGCCCAGTGGATTGCTCATCATGCAAAGGGGCTTCCCTGTCCCTCTCAGATCCATGTCCTGCCCCACAGAGGAGCTTCCTCAACACTGACTCCAGTGGCAAAGTCCTCACCTCGGTGCCCAGGGCAGCCGTGTGTCTCAGTGCTTTCCTTCACCATGGCTTTCCTCTAACCCCAGTCAGATGCAGCCACCACTGCACTCAGTCTTTTTTCCCCTCTTTGCAACGGGGCTCCCCAAATGTCTGTCACCCCCATGGCACCACCCTGTCCTTTCCCACATGGGGAACAAACCCACCATACATTCTACAGCCAGTTTGGAGAGTACGAGAGTTACCTTCAGCTTCCTCCGGGCATTGAACTTCTTCAGGCAATCCACCGTCTCCTGTCTGTGCATGCATGATGCCACAGTGGCACGGTGCTGGGGGGAGAGAGACACGGCTCAGAGCAGGTCCAGGGTGGGAAGAGGCTCCCCCAGCCCTGCTCTCACACACATGTACATGTGTGAGATCTCCCGTGCCCAAGGCAGAGGCCAGAGCTTCCTGCAGCAGCAGCAGCAGGAGATGAAACTTTAATAGGCAGCAGGAGATCACAGCTCTGGAGTCAGCAGGATCTGCTCTGGCAGGGGGGGGTGCATTAACCCCTCGCCTGACCAGTCAGTGTGCTCTGGGTCTGCACATGGTGTAAGATCCCAGGGTTAAACCCATGGACTCCTCCTGCCTTTAGGTGCTGATCCAGGGTGAGAACCAGCACCTGGAGCAGCAGGGTGCAGCGAGCAGAGGGGAGGTTGCTGATGGGGTGTGTGGATGGGTAAACATGAGCCTGCTCCCATCATCCCTGAGGAAAGCCCCCCCCCCCCCCCCCCCCATAGCACACTGTAGTGCCAAGGAACCAGAATGTCCCCACCAGGGCTGGGAACATGTGTGTCTCTCCCATCACCAGATCCCTGGGGACATGCTGTTTGCATTCACACTCCCGGCTTTTCTCTGCTGCAAAGCCTCAGGGAAAAGACTGCTCTGAGAGCACTGGGAGGAACCATGCCAGGAACCATCTTCCCAGGATGGAGAAGAGAGCCAGGCAGTATGTTTGATAACATGTGCTCCCGGTGAGATGTTCCCCTCTTGTGAACCCCCACATCTCCAGATCTTCGATCTTAACCACTGAGTGCCACCAAACTCACTGATATCCAGGGATGCTTCAGAGCCTCTGCTGCTGTGATGCGCTTGGATGGGTTTATGGTCAGCATCTTGTTGATGAGATCTTTTGCTTCGGGAGTCACTGTGTCCCACTCAGGGGAGGGGAACTGCCAAAGCAAAGGGACTAGGGTGAGAAACTGCAGGGAGCAATAGAAGGAGCAGAAGCCTGTTGAGTTGATGCTCCTGCAATCCTTTGCTCCTGCCTATGGGACAGGGTGGGGAGATAGTAGCAACTGCAAGGAGCTGCCAAATGGAAAACTGAAGAGCAGGAGTGGAGGGAGAAAAGTGGAAGGCCCAGGATGAGACCTATCTGTCCTGCAAAGTGGAACTGAAACAGGTCAGTGTGCACATGGGCACGGCAGCTTGGACGGAGCAGAGGAAGGAAACTTGCTCCCATCTGTCTGAATTTGTCCTGGTTGCTCTTCTGGAGCAGCAGGCTGCAGGGCAGGGACAGCAGGAGAGAGGGAACACTGAAAGGGGGGAGCAAGAGAGACCCACTCACATCATAAGCCCCAGCCTTGATCTGCTGGTAGAGTCGGTGCTGGTCTTCATCCCAAAAGGGCGGGTACCCAACCAGCAGGATGTAGAGGATGACGCCTGCCCAGGAGAGATGTGGGATCAGTGGGAGAGTTCATTGTTGGAGGTATGAGCAAACTGAACCGAGGGAATGGCCCAACTCAAGCAGAGGAACCGAGACATTAGGGGAACGGGAGGATTTGCTCCCTGATTAAGGAGCAAAAGGCTTGTTGGTGGGTCCAGCTCCATGCTGATGTGTTCAGCAGCTGGGGAGATACACGGCAGCCACCATGCACAGCCTCAAGCTACGTGCCCTGGCAGGGCTAGGCAATGCCTCCTCCCCGTTGTGAGTGGAAGAAGGCTCCCCTGTGGCTGCTGCTGTGCCACTTCCTGGGTGAATCCTCCACCCTGACCTCCTGAGACGTGTCTAGCAACCGTGACTCAGTACATGCTGGATGAACAGCCTGCCTCATCCCACGCAGCCATCCCGGCCCTCTCCTGGCATTTCAGCCCCGGTCTCACTTACCACAAGCCCACAGGTCCACGGCTTTGCCATAGGGATCCTTCCGGAGCACCTCGGGAGAGAGGTATCCCGGGGTGCCAGCGAAACCTGGGACAGACAGCCCGTCACACACTGCCAGGGCGCAGCTCCCACCCCACACAGCTCACCAGCACTGCCATGAGAGCCAAGAGCCCTGGTCCTGGCACATGCCAACCCATCGGGACAGGCACCCTCCCTCCAGAAACCTCTGTTTATCCCAAAAGCAGAGCAAACCGTGACACCCCAGGCTGGGGCATCAGTCTTGAGTGCTCTGCCGTGCACATCCAACACTTGGAAGAGGCTTTCCTCCACCGGGGTCTGTCCCTGTTGCTGGCTTATCCGGCTCACCAGGACATGTTGGTGACCCACCAAGTCCTGTGGAGCTGTTTGCCTGTGCCTTGGATCAGTACTGGGCTGTTTCCAGGGGCTCAGCTGGAGCCATCAACCTCTGCCTCCCAGGCTGGTGCTGCCAGGATGCTCCCATAACCCGGAGTCCAGTTCCAGGGGATGTGCATCCCTCCTGGAGCATCCCCTGACCAAACAAGGACTGAAGCATGCCCCACCTCAGCCAGTCCTACTCACCAAACCATGCTTGCTGGTCCCCTTCCACCTCGATGGCGAGGCCGAAGTCAGCCAGCTTGACGGCAGCACCCTTCAGCTTGGATGCCAGCAGCAGGTTCTCGGGCTGCAAGAGGAGAAAGTAGTTGAAGAGGAGCAAAACATGGACTACAAGGACCTCTCTAGCCCCTTTCCCTTGTGCTGTTTCACCCCAGAGCTGGTCTTTGCTGTGTGGCTCTCCAGAAGCCCTACATGCTGTTCTTCGCTACTGTTTCAGTTGCCTTGGAGGACACTGGGCATTGCTCCACAGGGTTTTGCATGGCATACGGGGTTCACAAGCAACTCCCCTGCAGCTCCTACCTTGAGATCCCGGTGGACCACCCCCATCTGGTGGCAGTGCAGGACGGCCTCCAGGATCTGCTGGATGCAGTGGCTGCAGGAGAAAGACGAGAGCTCAGGGAAATGCCAGCAAGGCAGAGTTCCCTTTGACACTTCTGCTTGGCTGCATTTCACCCCCTGCCCCTCTCCCCATCATGCGTCCCACCAGCAGCCCTGTAGCACAGCTCACTGTCCCCCTCACCAAAAGCCACACCACCATAGAGAGCAGTTGTAACTGAGTAAGATAACCAGTCACTGTGAGCATGGAGGTACAGCTGATCCCATGGGGTCCCCATAGAAGCAACAGCAGAGGGGACCTGGAGACCAGTGGTGTAGTCCCAGTGTGAGCCCAGACTTGGTCTCCAAACCCAGATGTGTTCCTCAAACACAGAGGTAACCTTCACTTCAGCCCCATTTCCCTGGCCTCCTCTAACACGGGTGGCTCTTGCTGTGTCTGTTGGCTTTGTATCTAGTTCATCAAACCCCATCTCTCCTGCACGCATGAGAAAGGAAGGGAAAAAGACCAAGGCGATGATCACTTTGCTCCCAAACAGCTGTGTGCAAGGCAGAACGCCTTTATTTACATGTATTTGATTTTATTTGCATGACACTAATAAGTGGATGAGTTGTAACTGGATTCAGCGCAGGCAACCCATTAAACGAGATTGCTTTCTGCAGTATTTCCACGCAGACAGAGCTTACCACTCCCTTGGACATTTGTATGGGCTATGCTTATCCTGGGGGCAAAGCCAAGAGGCACAGCAATAGCTGGAGAGCCCCTCACACAAATGAGGCTCCTGCTGTCCCGTGGCCAAGCTGCATGGACTGAAGGGGTGGCTCAGATGGTCCCAGCCCCTTGCCTTTGCAGCAGAGTACCTGGTGCCAGCAGGACGATGGGAGGAAGCAGAGCTCCAGCACATCCTCCCACCCAGCCTGTCTTTACTGCTCCTCCTTAGTGCTTGCAAGTGGTAAATGCCAGAGAAATGCTTGCAAACGACGGTAGTGCAGCTGCGAGTGGAAGGGGTGAGGACTGTGCAGTGTCTGTGCTATCACGCTTCTGGCTGGGGCACCAGCATGGTGCTGGGCTTTCCCCCTGCCAGACCAGAGAGCCTTGGTCCTTCACAAAGACATGAGATGTGTGCTGGGCCATCAGGCCGGGGAAGAAGGATGCTGCAAGTGATGGCTGGCAGAAGCCTTATTCAAAGGGAAGCCATCCCTGCAGTAACACACACACTTCTTGGCGCAGGGGCTGAGTGAGTTAAAAAGAGTTGGGTTTGTGGTTGGTTTTTTTCCACTACACATCTGGTTTATGTGGATGTTCTGCAGAGCGGCTGTAAAACACCTCCCAGCATGGAAGGAACTTGTGCTGTGCAAGCCAGACACGCAGGACCCTGGGAGGGAGCAGCTCACAGGAGAAGGGGACAATTGCTGTCCCCTCCACAGCCCGGTGTGTGTCCGTGCTCACCTGGCATCCGCTTCGCTGTAGTATTCCCTGGCCACAATGTCCTCAAACAGCTCCCCACCAGTGACCCTGCAGGAGAACAGGGCAAGTCACACTTGGCCATCTCAAAGCGCTGGACTGATTTACAGCACACTCAGTGCTGGCAAACCCCTCCAAAATACCACTGCAGCATGCACAGGGGGAGCATTGGGTGTGCAGGGCACAGACTGCCTTCTGCCCAGCTCAGGGGACCCAAGCTTGACTCAAACCCAGCCTGTGGGAAGGTTTTGGGTGAGGTGACGGATGGGGGAGAGCTTGGGGGGGCTGTGGGATGCAAGGGTGCATCACCCTGGGGTGGAAGCACACAGCTGCCAGTGGATTAAGAGATGCATTTGACTATTACTCACAGGTCAAATATCAGGTAGTGATGGCCCTCTTCAGAGATGCTGTCATGGAGCCGCACTGCAGCAGAGACAGAAGGGGTATGGGGTATGTTTGTCTCCCACCCTGCACCCCTTTGCTCCCCTTTGGGCACAAGCAGGAGCTGGGGAAGGGCAGAGCGGGGCTATTCTTCCTCTTGCTGTTGCTGCTGGCTGGACCCCAGCACGTCCCCAGCCTCGGGCAGGGGTGCAAGGCTCAAAGGTCACATCCAAATCAGGGACTGACGGGACTGGTGCCTGGCTGAGGTCCCGGGCAGCTGCTGGGCTATCTTGGGTCCTGGGCAGGCTGCAGGAGCAGGAGCCTCAGCCCTCTGCCCCATCGGGGTACAGGGAGAGCTCAGCCAGGGCGCTGGGCTGCCAGCCCAGACACTGACACTGCTCTTGTTTCTGCTCATGACCTTCCTTTCCTCCTTGGGCAGTCTCAGGTCAGGGATACCCAGGAATCACCATGTGATAAGTTTCCTTTGGAGGTAGTGCTCTCCCTGTCTCCCATCTCTTCCTGTGGGGCCGCATCTCACCCCGATCATCACACCAAGGGTCACACCATGCCAGGTATAGGCTGGTGCAAACCTGTCACCCTGCAGCAGGTTCTGGTTATTCAGGCTTAGATTCCCACTTGGATGCTTCCCCACTGCTGGCCTCTGCAGACATCCCCTGCACTCCAAAACCTCTGTCTGCTCCCTGGTTTTCTCCAGCACATAATCCCAGCTTTTCCACCTTCCTCTGCTGGAAGAAACATATTTCCTCCTGTTTCATCCTTCCTGGGAGGGATTTGAAGGTATTGCACCAGGGATCCTGCAGAAGCCAAAGTGTTCAATGGGGGATTAGGTGGGTTCAGTGCGGATAGGGTCAGTGTAATGATAAGCAGATGGTCCGGATACAACCCCTGCTTTGGGAAGCCCCATTGCCTGTAGCTGCCAGGAGCCAGGAATAAGGTATAAGAAAGAGCAGCCGCTCTAAATATAGCCTGATCCTACAAGTATCTGTTACTGGCCATAGTCACAAAGAGCTGTGCTGGCCAAACCACTCCAGCTCAGCACCAAAAGCCAAGGCAGGGGCAGGACACAGCTTCAGGACTGAGAGTCAGAAGGTTTAACCTGGAGTTAAACCTCCAGGGCTGGGTGTAGCCAAAGTTTCCCCAATAAGGAAAGATTCCATGAGGAAAAGCAGCTTTGGGAAACCACAGCTCTCCCTGATACATCACCCAGTGCCGTGGATGTGCTGCAGGTCCTGGAGCTGCCCTCGACCACCCATGCGAGGCACAGTGCAAAGCACAGATTGGCTCCTCCAGGATCACAGCCACAACGCAGCATTCCCATAAGGAGATGAAGGGGCCCCTCCTCACAAGTAATGGGCCAGCAAAGCCCCTCAGCAGCTGGGATGCTTCTCCTTGGGAGAGATGGAGAGCTGTTTTCTGCCTTGCCTTCCCCTTGCCCCCCGCAGCAGCGACTCTTCTTCCTCTCATTAGGGCTGGTCTGCAGTGGCAGAGCTCATTCCAGCTCCTGGTGGGTAATTAGCTGGCTTGTGCTGCATGCAAGGGAAGCTGGAGCCCAAGTTTCCAAGCAGCAGGAGCGGGGGGGGGGGGGGGGGGGGGGGGGGGGTAGGGGATGAAGGGACAGAGGGTGAGGGGTGGAGAAGAACCTCCTGGGTATAAATAGTGGAGATTGGGCTGTTAGCATCTCATGCCGTTAACCCCTTCCAGCCCTGTGCTTAGAGCAGGGGTGCTCTGAGCCTGCAATCTCTGCAGGTCATGGCCAGTGAGGTGTGGTGCAGGGATGAGGCAGCAGGGAAGGCAATGGGCTCCTCTATTTCCAGTATTTCTTGTTATTCACACACTTTACAGCACATTTCCTTCAGGTCTCAGCAATCCTTACATGCATTTTGGAGCAAAGGAAAGGCTCCAGATGCTGCTGTGACCAGGGCAGCCTTCACTTCCCACCAGGACTGCAGGGAATGGGGTCCTGCTGAAGCAGGGAATGAGGAAGGATGGAAGCTGGATCCTGCAGTGTCCAGCACCCCAGCAATGCAGGGCAGAGCTGCCACTCACCCGTGTGCCTCAGGCAGATGGAAGCTGACAGGCTCCTTCCAAACTGAAATATTTATGGAGCGGGAGCCGCATGGCTGGTCCCAGTGGCCCTGGGTCTGTCCCCCTTCATCTGCTGCAGGACATCTTGGGAAGGACAGATCCAGGCCACCGGGAGCAGCCAGGGGAGCATGGACGAGCTCCCAGCTCCTGGCTGCAGATTCCAGGGCTGCAGAGCTATTGTCCTACCCCTAAACGCTTTCCCCAAAGGATCCCACCGGGGTTGGCACACCCTGGGGTGCAGCGGAGAGGGGATTCATCCCCATTCCCACTGCCGAACCACCAGCATCAGCATCACTCTCAAAGACGGGGTTTGGGAATTCTTTTTGCTGCAGTTTTTTCCCCTCCCTTCTCTCTCTTTCTCTCTTCTGGCCTATTTTTGTCTTTTGCAGGGGCTCAGGAGTTTTCCTGAAACAGCTTTTCCGAAGGAGGCTACTCTCAGATGGACGGTCGGTGGGAAAGTCTTCGCTTCCCCCCGCCATCGCTCCTCCTACACTCCCCGTGCTGCTGCTGCTGCTCCAAGCTGCAGCCGCTTTTTGGAGCATGCAGAGGAACACAGCACCCGGGGAGCAGAAGAGGAGTAAAAATAGCCCCTTGCAGCCTGCTGGGGCCCCACTTCTCCCTGAGGAGCTATGGCCAAGTGGGTTAGATAGGACTGACCCCCCTGCGCGTGGTGGAAGCTTCTCCCCATGACCCCGTTTGGAGGTGCTGCCTCCCGTGAGGAAGAGGAGGGATGCTCTGCGGATCTACAGGGCAGGCACTGAGCCCCTTCTCCATCTCTGGGGTGGTGGCTGGAGCACCAGGGAAGGACAAACAGCCCGTGATGCTGCAGGCAGGGTTATGTTATTGATAGGGGCCCCCCAGCCCTGGCAGCATGAGAGAGCAGGGGGGCACAGAGCCAGCATGAAACAGTGGCACATTTGCCCGGCTGCTCGGCTGGCAGGCAGGGAAGGAGCAGGATGTGCTTACCGATGTTGGGGTGCTTCAGCAGGCGGCAGATCCGGGCTTCTCGTTCCAGCTTCTGGTGATCTGAAAGAGGCAACAGCCCTAAATTAGGGTCTGGGGAAGGGGATAATCTGCTCCCAGCTCCTGCCATGCTCTCTCGGATGAGCTGCCAGCACAGGGATGCTGATGGGGATAGAGCAGCTGGCAAGGAGCAAACCCATCCTTTTTCTGCTAAAGAAAAATGGGCCTGGGGACATGCTCAGCATCAGGGCCTAATGGACAGTATCCCAGCAGGGATGCAGCCCCCAGTCACCAACGCCACAGGCAGTCCTGGGCTTCGGGTGATCCCTCACCCTCTTCTCTCCCTTCTGTTTACTGAACAGCCCCCGATCACCTCCAGAATACCCCGGAGCTGCCCAAGTTATCACTGCCAGCAGCACTTGCTGTTTTCTCTAATGCAGTCAAGCACAAGCACTCAGCAAGGGCATTCCTGGCCCCGCATGGTACAGTTTGAACAGCTGAAGATAAAGCCGATCAGCGAGAGATGTCAGGCTGAAACGGGGCCATCCACTTCACTCCCTTCTCCATCCCCAGCCATTTCACATCACGTCTTTGCTTTCTTATATCACAAAACCCTGGCTCTGAAAATCTGCTTTGGTCTGGTGCTGGACTCCAAACAGGCAGCACAGGCCCATCTCCCTGGCTTCTGCCAGCCTCAGGGATGTGAGACAGCAGAGCTCTGGGTAAAGCAAATTGAGCTGAGCCAAAAAAGCCTCCTCTCTGGGGCAGCTCAGAATGATTTTCAAATCAGTTTGTTTCTTTTTCCCTGTCTCTGCACTTTTCTCCCTCCTTTTACCTGCCCCAGCCACCCTGCATGGAGGTGCCTTGTCTGGAGGCACTTCACACTACAGGGAACCCAGAAGTGAGGATATAATTAGAGCGGCTTGTCTCTCAGTGCTATCACTGTTACCTTGCAGGTTCACACCCCAGAGTCTCGCTCTGCATCAAACCAAACCTCAGTGTTTCTGATGCTGAGACATCAAGGCGCTGCAGCCCCTTCACTGCTGGGGCTGGAGCTTCCCTGGGGCTCACCATCACCCATGCAGCAACTGTGGGGCTCAGCACAGACGAGACATTCACCCTGGGGCTTGGGGTGGATTCTGAAGCCTCTGTTGGGATCTGCAAGCCAAAGGCTGGGACAGTCTTGTTGGCCTTGTTCAGCCCCCAGCAATGTTCCCCCGATGAGCAGCAGCCTTCCCAGGGTGGGACACAGCAACAGGGACAAGGCAGGGTTTAGGCTGTTGTTGTTCACAATGAAAATCCATTGTGGGGTGTAGAGCAGGGAGAGGATGGGGGAACGGTGTGACCAGTGCGGACAAGCACTTCTCTGGGCAAAGGGGAGCTGCTTTCTGCCCCTCTTTGCTCCTGCCTGACAGTGACCGTCGGTGAATCACTGATTTTCACTTTTTGCCTCAGTTTCCCCATCTACAACCTGGAGCCAAACGGGCCAAGGGGAATCTCGTCCGCAGCAAAGCTCCTTTGCTTGCTTAGAAGAAGGCAGAGATCACAGGAAAGGGCAGGGAATGTGACCCCCATCCCTTTCCCACCACAAACCGCCCGACTCAGCTCCATCTCCCTGGCTGAGCCGCGGCACCTTCAGCACCATGCAGCCCCCCCCCAGGCGCTGCCCCCCTCTTTGTACCCTCGCAATCTGTCACCACCAAAACGCCTGCGAAGGCAAAGCCGGGCACAGGCGGCTTGGCGGGAGGCCGGTGTGCTTTGATAAAGTGCAGACAGCACGGGGAGGGAGTGGGAGACCAGCGAAAACCAGGCAAAGAGGAAAATGGATCAGGGAGATGAAAGGGAGGAAGAGATGGAGCGCTTCCAAAGGGCAGCGCTGGGGAGCCAGGGGCACCCAGGAGGGTCTGGGAAAGGTGCTTATCCCTATGGAGTGAGGGCTGGGCACATCCCTGCGGGAGAGTGGCTCCTTGTTCGGCTTTGGGGATTCCTCGCAGCACCATTCCCGGTGTTATCGCGGCAGAACCGGGGGTTTCAAGGCCATCAGCAGAAGCAGGTGGTGATTTCAGCAGGGAAAATAACCGCGGTGAGGTCTCTCCAGGGGACAGAGGGACACGGAGCTGCGGCAGGGACAGGGCAAAGCCCGGAAGAGGATGGAGAGGGGCAAACTGGGGAAGCGGGAGAGCGGAGGCAGGAGGGAGCAGAGGGAGGGCGGCTCAGTCTGCTGCTCCAGGCGGCCCTGCAGGCCAGGAGGTGTTTGCTGCCCATCGCGCTGCTGGCCGGGGTATGGGCAGGAGCTGAGCGCCGACACCAGTGCAACCAGAGCAGACCCTGGACTGGGAGCCTTCAGCCTCAGAGGGAGGGGATGGTCCACATCCACAAAGAGGGATGCTGGGGAGAGCAGGGGGGAGCTCAGCACCAGTGCTGTGCCTCTTCGGCAGCACTGCAGGAGGGAGATTGCAAAGCACTCGTTTAATTTGGGGTCAGAAAGGAGTTTGTCACCGTTTTCTGCATCTCGGTTTTGCCATTGGAGGTGAGCAGCGGCATTAGGGAAGGAAACCAAGGAGGGAGTTAATGAAACCCTCGCTCGCTGCCGGCACTCATCCTGCACTCCCTGATGGACCCGGACAGGAGGAGCCAGAGCCAGGGGCACGGCAGCTGCTGTCCCATCCTCTCCATCCTCTTCATTGCAGCTCTTGCTGTCAGATACTCTGGGGCAGAGCGGTCCCTGCCTCGGGGCAAGGGCTCACTGAAGGTTTTCTGTGCTGGTTCAGCTCAGCCTTGCCCCGAGGAGCAGCCAGAACAGATCCACCAGTGCCTCTTCCAGCAGCAACATGCTTCACCAGAGCGATTAATGAGGGAGCAGCAAGAGGTGGGGGACCATCCCCGGGCAGAAATGAAACCAAACCCCCACTTGAAGGATCTTCCTATCTCATTGATGCAGGTACGTGAATAAGGGAACATGCAGCCCCTGAGAGGGGGGACAGAGGTCACCTCTGAGGGGTGATGCTCCCAAAATGACTGTGCTACCCAAGCACCCAAGGCTGGCAGCAGTTTGACCTGCTGCAGGGCTGTATCCATCACTTTGCTGCAACATGGGGGGGGGAGGAGGTATCTCAGTGAGAAGTGGGGTCCTGCAGCTCCACAGGCAGGTTGGGGTCTGGGACACCCCCAGAGCACTGGTATACCCATATGATTGGATGGGATGCAGTGAGCAGCCATGAAGACATCTCCTTGGGATGTTCACAGCTCAGTGTGTACCACACAGAGATAGGGTGGGATAAGGGGTTCCTCCACAGCACATTAAACACCCCCTGCCTTGCTGCACATCAAAGGCATCATCCCAAAACCATCCAATGGGGATAAATTCCTGGTCCAGAAACCCTTCTTGCCTCTCACCTCCCCAAAACCACCGTCAACACCTACCTCGAGCAGACAGCTTCTTGGTGTTGATGATCTTGGCTGCATACTCTTGTCCTGCCAACACCTTCACACATCTCCGGACAATGGAGAAAGCACCCCTGGAAAGACAAGAAGCCAGAGGGAGAAGTGAAGGGCTCAGCCCTGAACGTTCCTGTGGGGTGAAGGACAGGGATGGGGCTGAGTGCTGGGCAGGGAAGGGGCTAAACTGGCTTCCTTGCACCACTGTCCTTGGGGAATGAAAGGGTCAGGCACATGGATGAACACAGGATTTGCCTTTGGGACACCCCAGGCATCATGCACCTTTCCTCCTCCTCTCCTTCCCAGGCTCTGCCCTACCTATTCCCTCGGATGGAAGGGGCAGTGATTTACCAGGGATATTGGCTCCGAGGGACACCAGGATGGCTGCAGCCACCATGCAGCATTCTGCCACTTCACTTCAGTCTACGTGCATGGCTTTGCATGCTCTAGACCACGCGATCACAGCAGCACTTTGCAGAAGGGTGTGAGCACCAGCCGTGGGTGCAGGCCAGAGGTGCAAGGTCCCCCCATATGCAGAACTGGACAGGATCAGCACAGGGGACCTTGCAAGCCAGGACCGTTGCAGCAGAGCAGGATGGGTACTGCTGCTGCTTGCACACACATGAGCCAATGTGCAAGGGTCTCCTGGCAGGAAAATGAGTGTTTGGGATGCTCCAAAGAACCCTCTCTGCCCCCATACCCCACACCGCAAGCCCTGCCAGCTCACAGCACTGAGAGCACACCAGTGCGATGCTGAGAGCTGCGGCACTGCACACACACACACACACACACACACGCATGCTCCAGCCCTGCTGAGCACAACCTTTGTACCAGGTTCCTTCCCTGCCAAACCTTTCCAATCGCTAAAATAACAACTATCAAAAGCACTCCCACCTCCAGCCCCACCTTCCCCCCCCCAGCTCCCGCTCCCTGCTGAGGAATAAAAGGCCGCAGGCTGGCGAGCAGCAGCTGATAATTGATTTTAGTGGTGGGGGCGGGTGGAGATGGGCAATTTGGGGTTGAATGGGATCTTTAGGAAAACAGGGGAGCGGCGGGATGCGGAGGGATGGAGCTGGAGCCCCAGCGGAGCCGGCAGCCCACGCACCCAGCGCCGCCACGCAGAGCATCGCTCACGGCACGTGCCAGGGGAACAGCATCCCGGTGCTTCCCGGCCTCCCCATCCTGCTGTCTGATCCCGGCTGCTGGAACAGCTGAGCTGAGAATATCCCTGTAGTTTGAGGGGGGGGTAATTGGAGAGGGGGAGCAAAATGCTTTGTATCCAGCTTGCCATGGGTGCGGGAGATGGGAGCCCTCACCAGCCCTGCAGTGCCGCTCTCCCCATCCCGCTGGGAACCCCGCACAGCCCAGGACTGGGGGACTCCTGTGTATCCCTGTGACCCATCTTTCCTATTTTTTTCTCCTAAAGACATATGTGCTGCTCTTGCAGTGTCAGAAACGTCTGCAGCAGAGAGTGCAGGAAGCAGGGAAGCCCTCACCCATCCGCCCCAGCTCGGGGTCTCTGTTCCAGCCACAGGGTTTTGCTGCAGGACGTAACATGGGGTTAGAGGGACGTAGATGTCCCGGATGCCCTGGAGGCTGTGGGACCCATGGCCACTCCTGGTCCCAATGCCCACAGCCACTCACTCATCCATTTATTCAAACTAAACCAAATGGCAAAGAGGGAGCCGTGGGATGTGGGATGCAGCATCCAGGGATGGGATGAACTGAACTGGCACAGAAGAAGGTCTCACACCCCTGCCTGCATTCATGGCTTTTGGCTTCACTGGGCCTTTTTAACAGAAACCAAATGTCTTTTTGGGCTCCATGAAGCACTGGCAAGACCCTGTGAGCCCGGAGGGCAGAGGGGACACAATGCACTGGGTGCTGGACAACCTGGGTACAGCACACTTGCCATAGCCTCATCCCAGTCCTAGTCAGGTCCTTCAGGGAGTCCCTCCTTCACCAGGGGCTGCCTGCGGGCACTGCAGGGGATACCAGGCAGGGAGCTCAGCCCCATCTGGGTGCAAGAAACCCCTTTGGAAGGAGACGTGTCCTGCTCCCTGGCCATAGGCAGTGGTGTGGGTCAGTTCCCTCCTGGGGTGCTGGCTCTTTGGATGGACCCCAAACCTGTTGGCAGCTGGGGGTCCCCATCTCTACCTAGCTCCGAGATGGGGGATCCATCCCAGACGTGACAGCATGTCCCAGTTTTAGCACTGGACCACGAGTAGTGACCATGTCCACGTCCCCCCCATCGGCTGCCATTTCAGGGTGCCCCTGGACCCGCAGCCCAGCATCCAACCCTGTCCCTCCAATCCCGAGCTCCAGCACCGCTGCATCCCAGCCCCGCAGTCCTTGGCCCTTGGGCCAGGTGCGACCCATCCATGCCTCGGCCCCACGGCCTTCCCCAGAGCAGCAGCTCTGCCACGGGGCTGCTCTGCTTCTCCCTTTTTCACACCTTCCCTGCCAGCGCTGGGCTGCGCTGCTGCCGCCCTCCCTCTCTTCAACACCTCCTCCTCCTCCGAGGCATTTTATCTCCTCTCTGGAGAGCGCAGTGTGGGCTGGGGATTTTTTGTTCCTCCATGTTTGCTTTTTTCCCTTGGTCTCTTTAATTACCCCCATCTCCCGCAGCTCAGCTCAAACTGCTCAGTGCCGTGCTTGTCCCCAGCCTCACCCCCAACCTGCCATGGAGGCGGATTTGGAGGTGCTGATGGAGCTGCACCTCATGTTTGTCCTACTCCACAGGGGCCGTGGGCAGGATCCTTCCCCACTTGCTGCTCCCCACCTTCACCTGGTCCCCTTCTGCAAGCACGGAGCAATGGGGGGGATTGGAGTGGCCCATTGCTTGCTGGGCTTTGGCAGGCATGAAGGGGTGGGTTTTCCACAGGTCCATGTCCCCTGCTCAGTACAGATGCCTTCCCCATGCCTGGGAGGTGCAGAGGATCATGCCCCATGGGGCAGGCCCTGCAGACCCCTATCCACAAAGCCCCTTTGCGGTGCTATCATTTCATGTGTGGGACCTTAACCCCCTAACCCACCTGGGTGTCAGGATGGGTGACAGAGGAGGAGGTGCCAAAGGAGCATGGTGGGTGCAGCAGCCTGGCACCCAGCACCTCTCTTCCTGCCAGCCAGGCTTGGGGACACTCCATATGCCCCGCAGGGGACTGTCCCAGTCCCTTGGGGCAGCAAATTCAAGATGGACCCTTTCTGCTCTGAGCTCCTGTGGGATGCTGCTTCCCTTTTGGGTCTGGATGTAGGAGAGTTGTGCTGTCGCCCTGCTTCACCCCTGCCAGACCCCGCTTCCCGACCGGCACTGGGAGCATCTCGCTGCAGGAGGAATGCCATTTCCCACCGTGAGCGCTGCTGCAGCAGAGCAGAGGTGCAGCTTCGTCCTCATTTCCTTCTCTAAGCCCAGAAAGTGGAAATTTCCCCATGGGAAACTGCTGATTTTTGAATGTGCCAGGATGCGCTGGAACCCATCCCAGTGGAAAATCCCCAACCAGCTCCACAGTGCCTTGACCAGCCTGGAGAAACCCAGAAGCCCCTAAGCTGGGAACACACCTCGGTGCTGCGGTGGTACCTGTCCGCCGGAGTGGAGGGAAAAGCTGAGGGATGCTCCAAGCTGGGAATGCTGCCTGGAGCTCAGTCCCTGCATCACCCTAGGGGTCGGGTGGGCTGGGGTATGATGCTTACAGGGAGCTGGCACATGTTCCTTTATTCAGGAGCATATCAAAACACATCTGTCAACGAGGCTTTACACCGTGGTGCTGAGCAGTGTGGGCAGCCCCCGAGTCTGGGTGCTCAGCCCCCAGCGTCAGCACCCTCCTAGCTAAGTGCTGCATCCCAAACACACCCCGGTGCTCCCCATCGCTCCCGGCCTTCACGCTCCCCTGCACATCCCCGCAGCCACATCTGCCCAGGCAGGACACAGCAGCCTCCCCGCAGGCTCCCTGCAGCCACTGCCTCTCCTGCCCACCCCCTGCCACCACCTCAGAGCCTCAGAGCACGGAAAAGCCGAGAACCCTCTGGAAAAGCAGGTCCCAAATCTCACCTTGCCACCAACTCCCTATTCCCATGCCCGCAGTGCCAGCGGGGACTGTCCCCACTGCAGGGACCTGCTCCCTGACCCACTGCTCCCTGCCAGAACCGCAGTGCCAAGGGGATGGATGTGCACATCCTGGGACCATGCGTTCTGTTTGCATCCAGGGAGCTGCACTTTGTGCCACTGTTTGGCTGGGGTATATTGACAATGCTCAGACTGGCCCAAAGTCCTCCCCTGTTTCAACCTTCGATTTCTCCATCCTCATCCTCTCCTCACCCCTGTTTCACACTCCCACATGTGTGTGGGCACAGGTTTAGGCACAGGAGATGCAGGAATGCAAGGCTGGAGCCTAGGGATGGACACCACTGCACATCCAAAGCCCAGGCACCAACCACCCGGCACAGGCACCACATTGCCGAGCTGCTCCGATGGGGACGTGGCCACATGCCCCAGATTCACAAACCAGCTCCAAGAAAAGGCACAGAAACCAAAACACAGACACACGCCTGCTCACTCCTGCACCCGCTTCACAGCCACACGCTCGGAGAGACACGGAGCATCCCTCCCTCAGCCCCGCATGGAGGACCTGGAATCTCCTGGAATCCACCCTGGGATGCTCGGTGTCCCCCAGGATGCTGTGCACAGGCATTTCTGCTTGCACACACATCACACCCTGATCCAGGCACACACGATGACACCCGGAGCTGCCCAGCTGAGCCCTCCGAGAAGGATCAAGCTGTGGCTCACCCAGAGGGATGCTCACAGTGGGATAGGGGTGGGAGATGCCCCGACACTGTCCAAGAGCCACCAGGGGCTGCCGGGCAGGCTGGGTCTCCTGCAGAACCTCCAGACCCCAGTGAATCCACAGGGAGAAATCCCCTAAGGAAATGCAAGGGGCACCCGCGGTTTGGCTTTCCTCCTCCGCGGTCCTGTCCCTCCTCCCAGCTGGAGAAGTTCCCAGGGGAGCCGGCAGCACCCTCATTCGGGAGCGGCTTTTCCCTCGGAGTGGCAGCCGCCCCCTTCCCTGGGCAGCTCCAGCCCCCTGGGGTTGACCCCAGCTCCCAGCCGAGCACCCGAACTCGGGAAGGGATGGAGCAGGCAGCCCCCATCCTAACCCAAATCCCCCCCCCATCCTAACCGAAATCCCCCCCATCCTAACTCAAATCTCCCCGCACCGCTCCCTAGTGCGTTTACTCCATGCCTGTCTCCTTTCCCCCATCTCTGGCAGCTCCCAGCTGGAGCACAGCCCCACTCCGAGCATCCCATCCCCATCTCCAACTTACTTGCCCAGTTCCTCAAAGAGCTGGTACTCCTCGGTGAAACGATTGCAGGTGATGGTGGCCATTCCGAGGGGCTGGAAATGCTCCCTCCCCAGTGCCGAGTATGGGACAAGCAGCTCTCCTCTCGCTCCCTCCCTCTCCGTGTGCTCCCGGGGCTCTCTCCTCGCCGAGGTAAATAAGGGAATATGTTTGATTGACAAGCCCGGAGATAATGATGAGGGCAATTTGTCTTCTCAGCTTCACAAGCCTTCGTCAGCATCCCCGTCCCCATGGCGACCACCGCTGCCAGAAACGCCCTGTTTCTGTTGCCCAGGCAACTGCAACCCAAACCCGCCAGGCACCCGTGGGGACCAGGGCCCTGATGGGGACCCGGCCCTGGGGGCTGCCAGGGGGTCACTCTGCTGCTGAGGAGAGGGGAGGGGGGGGAAGCCTAAAATGCAAATATTAAAGGCAAATTAAAGGACATGGCAGTGGAAGGATAATTGGGGCAAAAAGGGTTTCCATGGAAACCCTGGTTTTCATATTGCAGGAGAATGCTGTCACCCCGGCAACTGATTTTACCCCCCAAAATATAGGCCCTGCAGTAGCATCCCTCCAGGACTGGGGGACTCTGGGATGGGGGACACTGGGGTGGGTGGGAGCCAATGGAGCAGAAGTATGTCAGGAGAAGCTGGAGCAACCATGGCAGGTCCCCAGGTCCCTAGGCTGGCCTTTCATCAGCCAGGGTCCCCTGACGGGGTGGCCCCGATTGCGCTGCAGGGGAGGGCTGGCAGTGCTGGGGGATGCTGGGGGTCTCAGAATGGGATAGGAGCAAAGTCTGCCCCCTCCTCATCAGGCTTTTTGCTGCTACTTTTAACTTCAGAAGACACAGAAAGGGAAATGAAAGTGGAGTGATGAGGGCCAAGACCTTGCTGCCAGCACCCACTGGGGATCCAGCACCTTCTCCTCCATCTACACATCCCCCCCCCCCCTTGCACCTTCCCACCTCTGAGCCCCCCAGAAGAGATTTCTTCTAAGCTATTGCCCTGTTTCTGGATGATTTTGCAGCAGGAGGAGCTACCACAACCCCAAAAGATGGGGCTCCCATCACTGGCTGGGAGGGTTTTGCCTTTGGCAGCTGAGATGGATTGAGTTCCCTTTCAGGCTGCCATGGAAGGGTTAAAAGGAAAAGAAAAGGCTCCAACCAGACAAAAATAGGGAGAAATCTTTGAGAGGAGATAGAGAAGGAGGAGCAGAGAGAGGGAGAGAAGAAAGGAGGTGGAAGTGGAGGAGGACAGCAAGTGGCGGAGTGAGGAAGAAGAGGGGGAGGAGGAGAAAGGTCTAATGGCTTTTCCATTAATTGCACCATTACCCACCTTCATCCGCACCTTGCATCCCCGCATCCAGCCTCCCGCTCCTGCATGGCCCAGCCAGAGGGGGACCCTGGTGCCAAGGACACAATTCCCACTGCACGGACAGGGCGTGCAGCCGTGCGCCCTAAGGGCCGACGGACTCCAGACCCATAAGGCCTTGCCATCACATGGGCAGAGCACACCGGCCACCACGGGTGACATACGTGTGCAGTCTGTGCCCTGGGATGTGGTGGTACCCAAAACACCACCCTGCCCATGCCCGTCTCCTCCCCATCCTGCTCCCACATGACAGGGGATTCATTCATCCCACCCAGAGCTGTGCCTGGAGGCAGGGGGCTGCCGTGGGAGCTGCTGCAGCCATATGGATGCTCATGGAATGTTCTCCTCCTCCAGCTTTATGCTGCCAACCCCTATCAACCCCTTGGAGCCAAAGGATAAGAGGAAGAACCCCCACACCAGACCCACAGATGCCCGGGGGCAGCTCACCCCGCCTCGCTCCTGCCTCTGCTGTCATACGTGTGCCCATGGGCGCTGCAATGTGACCTGCCCCCTCTTCCTGCGCCACCCTGGGGCTGGCACATGTGTTCAGCCCCACACACATGATCCCGCAGTCAGGAGGAGGCACCTGGCCCTTCCTTCCCTCCCTCCAGAGCTCCTTCTGCACTCCGACACCCTCACAGGGGGCAGGGGGGATGCCAAAGCTCTCCATGGGGACCCTGCCTCCCTCCCCAGGCTTCTCCTGCCTGGCACAGATGTGGCTTTCTAGGAAAGGTTTCCCCCTTCCCGCACTCTGTTCATTTCCCCCTTTTTCCTCTGCTTTTTCTCCCTCCTGGGGGTGAAGGGGTGTCAGGCTCCTGGGTGCTCAACATGCTCTGCTCTGCCGGTGATGCACTTCCCAAGCGGGAACCGCTGTGCGGCTCCGCTCCCGGGCGCCTGGAGAACACCCAAGGGGAGCCGAGCTCCGGACGGGATTGTCCCGCTCTGCCTGGGGGCTCTCCCGCCAGCTCCCAGCGGAGGGCAGCAGCTCCAGCCCCTTCCCAGAAGCCCTAGGATTTGTTTTGGATGTCTCCCTTTGGCCGATGCCTCTGCTCCCGGCCAGCCCAAGACGTGCTCCTGCAGGGCCCTGGAGAGCCAAGCCGCCGTGCTCGGGTCTGACCGCCTGATGGAGACCTTCATCCCCAGCAGCTCCTCTCCATCACTGGGCTGCCTCTCCAGGGATGCCGCCTGCTCTCCCAAATATACACACACACAGCGGGTTTCTGCAGCCCAGGATGGGCACCTGAGGTCTGGTGCTAAACCCCAAATGCACTGGATGGGCTCAGGGAGGACCAGTGTTTCCGGGGGGGGGGGGGGCTGCAGCAGGTTCCCCCCTCCTCCCAGGACATTTCATGGGCCTCCGGGAGCTTGCAGCAGTTCCTCACATGCAAAACCAGTGAAGCTGCCAATTACATATTGCAGACATCCCAGAATTACTGGGACAGTTTCACACACAAGCTGGGGTCTGGGGGATGTTCAGTTGCTGTCCTATGGGAAGCTGAATTTGGGGTTATTTTTAGATAAAGATTATAAATACCATGGTAAGAAGAGTTGATTTACATTGAGGGTTGTGTCTGCAGACGTGCCCTGTCCCTGCAAGTCCCAGTGCTCACTCCTGCAGCCACAGGAACCTGCTTTGAGCTGGGACACGGTGTCCCCAAGGCCACCTTCTCCCAAACACCAGGATCCATGGGCAGGGATTCTCCTGTGGACATGGCCATGAATATCTGGGGACCCCCAGCAGGAGCCACATGGCTCCCTGGAGCTGGCTTTGGGTGGGGAGAAACCTCTGCAAAGCCTCTCGTCCTCAGACCCCTGGAAGGAGAAAGGATGCGACTGCCTGGTATGAGATACAGCCCCTGGTCCAGAGCAGCCTCTCCCCAGCACGAGGTGCCCAGGGTGGACACCCTCCCACCATGGCATTTCGGTAAGATGCCCATCCCCTTTCCACCTACTTCCCAAGTGGAAGATGCCTGTGGGGCTGGAAAGGAACCTCCAATCCTGCCTGCTCCATCCTACCCCCATCCTCATCCTTACACTGTCCCCATCTCCATCCCATCCCAACTCCATCCCACCTCCATCCCCATCCCATCCCAACTCTATCCCACCTGCATCCCTATCCCATCCCAACTCCATCCCACCTGCATCCCCATCCCATCCCAACTCTATCCCACCTGCATCGCTATCCCATCCCAACTCCATCCCACCTGCATCCCCATTCCATCCCATCCTATCCCCACCCTCATCCTCATCTCTGTCATCATCTTATGCCCTTCCATCCCACCCCACTCTCACCTCCTCCCAGCCCGCTGGCCCTAGATGCATCCCCCTGCCCCATCCTCTCCGCAGGGCCTCATCCTGCACCCAGCTCCTGCTGGAGTTTGGGACAGCCTTGGGTTTGGACTGCTCTTTGGAAGGTGGTTGGGAAGGAGGGGTGTGCTCAGCCTGTCTGTGCAAATACATCTCCACCACCCGAGCACCTCCCCAGCTGCATTAACCCCTTGGTACCCAGAGTGCACAGGCACTGCTGAGGGGCTTGAACTGTGCGAAAACACAGGATTTGGGCACAATCTTCATTCTTTCCTGCAGAGACCATTAATGAGCAGTGGTGGGATGGGGAACCCAAGCAACAGCCAATGTTCAAATACGGGACTGGAAACAGGTGAAGGACAACTGCTGTCCTCGGGCTGGAGGCTCTGCACTGAGCACCCAGAGATGCTCCTGCTGACTTTTCCTCGTCGTTTGCAGGGACCGAGACTTTTCTTCAACTGTTTCTTTTTGTAAAAACTCATAATGCAACTTTTTTTTTTAATTAAAACAAAAGAAGAACGCAGACCCAACGCTATGGCCAGGCTGTGAGCCTGGCACCAGCCCAGCGACTGGAAATGAAGCAGGACCAGGCCAACCTTGTCATGGGGATATTAGTAAAAGTGAAGGCAGAAAAATCAAATGTGTTTTCATGGAAATTTCCATTTTTGAAGAAAAAAAAAAATAAAAGAAGGACTAAACTTGGATGCATTTATATAAATATGGAAATGAAAGCTGTTTCCCAAGCCTTGTCGCCGCCCCATGGCCAGCCCCGCTCTCCCGCTCCCTTTGGCATCAGTTCTCCCTTTGCAGTGCCTTGTTCCAGAGCCCCCAGCAGCCATCACCCCTTGCCCAGCTCCAGCTCAGCCTGCAGCAGTCTCCTGTTCTTCAGCAAAGCATTGCTTTATATTCAGCAACTGGTTGGCTTTGCCAGTGGGCACACTGATGGAGTGAATCCCATGGGACCGGGCTGGACGGTTGAGGTAGTTTGGGGATGTGCAGCATCCTCCTGGGGCTCACCTCCAATGGGGTGATGCTGCAGGGACTGGTCTCCATGGAGCAATGTGCTAAGGGAGCCAGGGATGGAGAAGGGGCTGATGAAGGAGCTGAGTTCCCCTCTGAAACCTCTCCTTAGGGATGCAGGGGGCCGACGGGATGGCACGGTGATGGGCGTGCATGGAGCACCTGGGACAGATGCACACACTGCCACGCTCCAGCTTCGCAAACTCCTTCTCATCTCTACAACAAGAGGTCTCCTCTATTCTGCCTCGCTGTCAGCTTTCTCTTTTTTTTTTCTCTTTGTTTCTATAGAAAATCCCAATTCCCCCAAATAATCCAAGCTAAGAGTAAGAAGGGGGGAAAAAATACAAATGTGTCATTGCATTCTCTTCCCATCCCCGTCCTCTCTCTCACACGCAGGGCTTGAAAGCACACTGAAAGGTATTCAGCGTGCACGCTGCCAATTGTCACATCTTTCAATGACAGATTTTAAATGAATGTTATTTTGCAAGGGAGAGAGAAAGGGGGGGGGGGTAAAAAAGAGGGGAAAAAAATAAAAAAGAAAGCCCACACTGCTCATCCAAGAGCTGACAAGTCCTAACGGGCCTCATTTTCCAGAGACAAAAATAACTATTTTCAAAATTCACAGCAGGGCCTTCGCCTACACACGCTGCACCAAGAGAAACCTGTGGGGAGAAATGTAAAACACATTGTGTAAATGGAAATGCACCATGCATCCCAAGTGCTTTTTGAGCTATTTACCCTCTTTCATCCTCGCCAGCTTCTCCTCCGAGCACACGTACGCATGCGCGGGGGGGCTCGGCACTGGTCCCGAGCTGCCGCAGGGGCTGGCTCCCCATGGCAGGGGGGTGATGATGGGGAGGTGTTTCCCAGTTCAGTGCTGGTGCTGATGGGAGAGTGGTGCCCATCTGCAGGGAGGGGGTGTGGTGTGGTGCTGGTAGGCAAGAGCTGTCCCTGTCCCCCTCCATGGCTTTGGGGTCCTGCAGCTAACGAGCAGCACATCAGCCTCTGCAGAGACCTTCTGGGGATGTTCCCTCTGCCCCAAGATCAGCAGTGGGGATGTGGGGATGGGGCTAACCCCAGCACAGGGAAGGGGTAGTTGGATGGATGGATGTGTGGGATGGATGGGGAGGAGCATGGGTGCATACAGCCGTGCACATGGTGATGGTAGAACCTGTGGATGGAAGGGTCTGCTGGGTGGCTGATCCATGTGAAATCCACCAGAACCTGTGACAAACCTGCCTCCCAAATGTGGGGTCATAGGGAACCATGTGTCCTCTAAGATCATCCAACCACATCTGCATGGGCCATAGTTCCTCACTGGGGCTGCTCCCGGTCCCCCAAGCCAGTGGAGGGGAGAAGGCATGGTTCCTCTAGCAGCAAGGCTGAGTCCAGCCATTGCAATCTCAGATCTGATGTCCATGGTCAGGAATCCATCCTTCCACAAAGAAGTACAACAGGGAAACACCATGGTCTTGGGTTTGGGGGAGCAAGAGCAAATGTAGCAGCCGCCTGGAAGCAGGCAGAGTCAGGAGCATGGATACACAAGGACAAGACGAGGGACAACCTGCAGGCAGAGCCACCCCAGGGTCTCATGCTTCCTCCTGCCATTGCAATGGTCAATATCAAAGCTTGTGATTGCCTGCAGAGTCCTTGGCAAAAGGGTCTCTCTCTTCGGAAGGGGCTCTGCATGGGCCAGCTCAGCTCAGCAGACTTGCACTACATCACCAAGGACCATGACTGAGCCCACATCACCCTTCCTTGCCCACCAGGACCACCTCCCTGCTGCCACTGGTCCAGCCAGAGAGGAGAAGTGTTTTGAGGTGAACCCTGGATTAAGGAAGAGTAAGAGACTGTTGTCCATCTTCATATCTGTCCCTCTCCCTCGCTCCCACCCCCTGGCACTGCCTTCCAGAGCTCCAGCCTGGCCAGGCTGGGTCAATGCTGGGGGAGTCTCCCATCAGATGCGGTTGGACATGAGCCTGGTGTTCAGCTTGCGGAAGAAAGACCGCAGCTTGCAGATCTTGCACTTCTTCTTCTTCTTGTTCCTGCTTTTCAGGGGCTCCCCACCACCTTCCCACTCCTCCCCATCATCCTCGCTGGCCCAAGGTCCCCAGGCACCGCCATTGAAGTCCGGGTGTGCTCGGGGGTTCTCCGCAGGGTACCGCACTGGGATGGCCGTCCGGTTGTAGTGCACCAGCCTCATCAGGAGGGTCCTGACCACGTCTGGGCGCTGGTCCGAGAGGTCGTAGCGCTCATAGGGGTCAGCGGTGATGTTGAAGAGCCACACGGACTTCCTCAGGCCATTGGTGAGACGCTCCAGGTTCCACCAGCTCCCTGGGAAGTTGGTCAGGGTCTGTGGGGGGATCCAGTCGCTGTATCCCGGGTCACCTGTGAGAAGCTTCCACTCCCCGACGCGGATGGAGGCCTGCACGGCCGTGTTCCAGATACCAAAGCCATCCTCCAAGGAGCCATACTTGGCGTGGTTGTACAGGGGGTCAATGTTGTGCAGGATTTCAGTTCGTGGCGACTCCTTGCCCTCACTGATGGCAGGCCACACGTTGTATCCATCCAAGCCTGGCACGTTGCTCAGGTTGCCCCTGGCCAGGCTGACCAGAGTCGGGTACCAGTCTGTGATGTGAACCAGTGCCCAGCTGGTCCGGCGCTTGCGCTTGATGAGGGGACTATGGACAAAACCGATGCCACGAACTCCTCCTTCCCAGTACGTCCCTTTGCGGCCCCGTAGTGGCCAGTTGCTTCCCCCAGAGAAGGTCTGCCCACCGTTGTCGGTGGAGAACACAATCACACTATTGTCATAATAACCATACTTCTTGAGGGCCCAAGTGATGTTCTTCACCGCCTCATCCATGCACGTCACCATGGCAGCGTACTTGCGGCGGGCAACATTGCCCATGGAGCGGTAGCGGTAGATGTACTCCTTGGGGGACTGCAGAGGCGTGTGGACCGCTTGGAAGGCCACATAGATGAAGATGGGCTCCTTGGGGCTGTGGGATGCCAGGATCTTGCTGACGCGCTGGGCATAGAGGAAGGTGGAGTATTTCCCACTCTGGTCCCAAGCCACGTCCTCCCCTTCGTGCAGGTCGTAGCCACAGACACCCGGTCCATCACAGTTGTCATAGGTGTAATAGTCCACATTGCCCGTCAGGGAGCCCAGGAAGGTGTCGAAGCCCCGGCGGGTGGGCAGGCACTCCTTCTTGTAGAAGCCAAGGTGCCACTTGCCCACCATATGTGTGGAGTAGCCGGCTTCCTGCAGCTTCTGTGGCAGGGTGACCTGGTCGAGGGGCAGGCAGTTGGGCTGCCGAGGGCGGATGATGGAGTGCTGCAGCCCTGTGTGGATCTGGTACCTGCCAGGGAAGAGCCAGGAGGAACCAATGGTGACAGGGAGCAGCTCTGAGTGGGAATGAGATGGCATTTTATGTGCTGGAGACCCCAAATGTATACAGATCTCCATGTCACCCAAGGCAGCCCTGTAGAGCAAGCTCCACACCAGAGACCTGGAGGTCCTGATCTATTCAATGATACTAAAAGCAGATGCAAAAACAAGAGAGGGGCTGAGCAGACATCTCAAAAGCACACTGGGCTGCCCCACCAGGATGCCACCAGCAGTTATCCCTGCTGCTGCCTGCCCATGGAGGGTGGCTGGGCTCTGTCAGGGCTGGGCAGCACAAGCAAGAGTTGTGCAGCAATTCCTGTGGGTTTGCAGTGCCATATCCATAGGCACTTCCTACGGTGAGTGTTGAGTTCCCAGGGCTGCTCCAGAGTAAGCCCCTTCTGTCCTAGGAGGCAGAACGTCCCAGGGTAAGGGGAGATTTGACTGTGTGCTATGGGAGAGGGCAATGGACCAGCAACCAGCAGGCCCTCGATAATGCAGCACTGAACACACAAGTGGGAAATACACAGTCCAAGGGACTCACAGATGCAGGGGAGAATGATCCTTCAACCCCATAGCCCAGCAGCAAATCCCCAAGGACCAGTGTGACAGCAGCATGGGACAGCCTGGGGATGCAGCTCCTTGCCTGGCACTGCAGGACCTCATGGCCAGAGACCACCTTTACCCAAAGTGACACCCTCTACCCAATAGCATCTGCATTTTTGGCCTTGCCATGTGCTACTATCTCCCACGAGAAAATCAGCTGTTTACTCATGAAGCCTTCTAAGGAAAGCCAGCAAGATGCCTTCTCTGGAGGTTCTCCATCATCTGCCAATACACGGGGCCATCTGCCTAGCAGTGAGCTGGGGTTAAGCTCCTCAGAGCTAAGGAAGGGACAGGAGGAGGGACACAAGTGGGATGTGAGCCTTACCTGCCAGTTATGAGCTGGCTCCGGGACGGGGTGCAGATGGGCTGGATGTAGTAGTTCTCCAGCTTAACCCCCTCGGCCGCCAGCCTGTCCAGCGTCGGTGTCTGGATATCAGAGCCGTGGTACCCAACATCGTGATAGCCCTGGTCATCAGTCAGAATGAAGATGATGTGGGGTGGCCTGGAAAAGGTGGGGGGCAGCACTTTCTCCATGGGGTCCATGGCCACGTCGGCCACCAAACTGGGCTTCATCCAGTCCCAGGATAAATAGCCAAAGCTGAGCAGGCTGACGAGCGAGAAGCCCGTGAGGGCATAGACGGCCATCCCGGAGCACGCCTGCGAAGGGAGCTACTGTCCCAGCATCGTC